GGTCGGAAATGGGAGACTTCTTGTTTTTCAATTTGAATTCGAATTATGTTCATTCGTTTGAAATGAAAAAAAAGACTTTTTAATTTAGGAAAAAATGTAAAAAGTCTCTTATAAACGTTTATAATAAAAGCTTAAAGGAAATAATTGCTATGTTATAACAAGTATTAAACGCATATCTAAGCACCCAAGACAAATTTAAAAAGAAATTCTGTAGTCCTCTTTAAAAAATGCTATTTTCACACCTATCGGGAGTTTCATTTTTAAAGATATTTCAAAAATGAAATTTTATACTTCTGTCCAATTTTTTTTTGAAATAGTATTGCTTAAAACAAACATTTTTTAAAGGAAGTTTTTTGTAACTCAAAATCTTTTGTAATCTAGTAATTATATCGAAAGTTTTAGCCGCTTTAACGTTATTGAAAATTGGCTAGAAAGTGTCATTAGTTTTCTCTCTCTGCAGTCAGTTCATGATCTGGGTTATAGTCCCGCATAATTGTCACGCCGCATTTGTGAAATAATTCTTAAATAATTTCATCAATTACGTCGCCCAGCTGCACAGAGTCGTCCGCTTTGGGTGCCTTTGCTGTTTTATTTTTTCCCGCTGCTCCTGCTGCCTTCGTTGCCATTTCAATTATGTTGATATTTATTTTCATATTTAATTTAACACGGGCTGTGGCAGAAGGAGCGATAGAGAAGGAGATGGAGATGGCTGAAAGAAACGGCGGCAGCGACAGCATTTGGAAAATCCATTTTACAGTAAAAACCGCATGCATTATTTAATTTTTAAGTGAAATCAATTACAAGCTCGTTGGCCATATAGCCAGGAGGGGGGGGCGTGGCGGATCGGGGGCGGGGACGGGGGCGGCGTGTCTGGTCTGGGCAGGGCTTTTGATGTTAAATGCCAGCCGCCGACGGCGGTGGTGCCATCGCATCGATGTTGCTGCTACTACGCACTGCAGTGTGGGGGCGACGGAAGTGCGCATAAATGCAATTGCAGTCGAATAAATAAATAAAAATATTTTGTGCCATTAAATTTCAATTAATAACAGGGCAAACACACACACGTGCGGCGCATCAGACACCGGCGACTTATTCGGTCTACAATATTAATACATTTCGGCAGCGGTGCGTGCACGGCGCGCTGATTGCCGCAAGCCCATGAAATTAAGTCACAAATTAATTAATTAATGCAATCAATACGTTGGACATTTGCATTGCCGCCACTGCAATCGATGTCACTGCATGTGGGCAACATTGCAATATGCAATTTGCAATTACAATTATGCCTTGCCCGAATGCCACCAGCAGCAGTAGTTTCTTGCACTCTAAATATATAGTCTCAACTGGGCCATTAAGGTCGCCGGTTTTACACTGGGGAAATTTAAAGCTCCTCGTTTTTCGCATTAAAATACTCTTTATTTCTTTCTTCTTATTAATTTGTTTTAATGGCGTTCCAAACGTTATGATTAAATTTAAATCAGAATTTTTGGAGTATTTTGGTTGCATCTAAGTCAGTATTTTTTGGATAAGAAATCACCATTTTGTATTTATTCTGATCGTAAAATATTTAAGGAAAGAGCACAATCAAGCTGCTGCTATTAATCAAAAGCTTTTCCATAAAAAATTAATAAAATACATTTTGTGGTTTTATGTATTTAAGCCTTAGTCGTGTGACTGCGGTCACAAACATTATGTGGCTTTTCTTTTTCCAGCAATAATACATGATTTAATATTGAAATATTAAGATTATATAATAAATCAATTTTAAACGAGAAGTTTTGACCGATATACACACCAAATACCTTAGCATGTAACTAAAGCATTAAATTATTCTAGTTTTGAAGATGTTTTACCTCTGCTTTCTTGATAAATTGTAATAAATAAAATTCGCCAATTGCAAATGGAACATATTTCCGAGTGCACAAATTGCCTTCGCCCAAGTCTGGACTCTCTCTCACACAATCGAACGCCCCAACAGGAGCCCAGCACGCCATGGCGAACATAATTTTTAATGGACTTTTAATGTCTGTCGCTTGTGCGGGGAATTTGGAGGAGAGTGTGTGTGCAAGCGCCTTCCTTTCGTGGACGTAAAGCTTTTTCGGGGTCAGTTTTTTGGCCTGGCTGGGCACAATTAGCGACAGTTTGTGCCCGACATGTGTAAACCAGCGAGAGAGGTGGGCTGGCTTTCCCGGCCATTCGTGTGCTGTGCTGTCAATTTATTAGTCAACGCCTCGCTTGCCCGGCAGTCAATTAGAGTTCAACAAGGCTCCGTTGTTTTTAAACAGCCAATAAGTTGGTATTATGATAGCCGCTACTAATGGGTGCGAGTTAAACTGGTTTTTTCTTTTGAAAGAAGCCTGGCTTGGCATCCATCCCAGGTTCTACAGAAAACTCTTGTAGTGGTCTTTAAACACACCCGAAAACATTAGCCATCATCATATAAACCATCAAATACAGCAATATATACCCATTTGGTATTAAAGGGATTTTTTTTAGCTGTGAATGCAAATCAATTTAAAATTTTAAAACGAATTCAACGAGGTATAACAGTTGACATTTTAATCAAAAAACCAAAACTCGGTTTGATTGTTTCGGGCTTTTGGCCATAAAATACCTTTTTAAACGATTTTTTCTTTTCTTAATCAAGTCGGGCAAAACACGTGCCTCAGTCAAAATTTTTGTGCAGCTGTTAACTTAAATAGTCCGTTCAGGTTGATTTACAAAAATTTATATTTTGAATGATTTTCACATTTTTTATAAGGGGTTGTAACCCGTCGATTTTTTCCGAAAGCTGAAGGCAAATTTTAAAGTGTTTTTGTTCTAAAATAACCAAAATACGTCGCACAGCCAAAAGAATGACTGTTTTCTGCATCTGTGGTCCCAAACTTTCGATTTCAGGTTAATTTGGTAAAAAAAAACTTTTGACAGTTTTTTTCATTTTTAATAAGGGGTAACACTTGATTTTTTTGAAAATTTGGGCCGAAATAAAATTTTTTTGCTGATAATACCGGTAAATTGGAAATTTTGTAACGAATTCAACGAGGTATGCCATTACAATCTCTTTCCATTATTTCCAGAGGTTTTGCTTAAAAAACTGAAAAATCGAGTGTTTTTTTTCTGGAATTTGGCCATTAAAACCATTTATTTAAAAACACTTATTTTGGGAGTTTTTTTATGTAACTTTCCCAAAATACGTCACATAGTCAAAAGAATGACAGTTTTGTGCAACTGAGGACCTAAACCATCGATTCCAGGTTGATTTGGAAAAAATTTTTTTCTGACCGATTTTTCCTTTTTTTATAAGGGGTACCATCATGGTTTTTTGCGAAAAATGGCCGAAAATTAAATTTTTTAGCTGAGAATACAAATTGATTGGAAATTTTGTGACGAATTCAACGAGGTATGACATTCCAAGATCTGACCATTATGTCCAACGGTTTTGATAAAAAAACGAGTTGCATTTATCCAGAATTTGGCAATCTTAAAAACACTTTTTTTTAACAGTTTTTGATGTAACTTTGCCAAAATAAGACGAACAGCCAAAAGAATGACTGTTTTATGCAGCTGAGAACCTATGCAATCAATTCCAAGTTGATTTGGTAAAATTTATTTTTTGACCGATTTTGGAATTTTTCATAAGGGGTACCATCATGGTTTTTTGCGGAATTGGGCCGAAAATAAAAATTTTAGATAAGAATACCAATGGATTGGAAATTTTGTAACGAATTCAACGAGGTATGCCATTACAATCTCTTTCCATTATTTCCAGAGGTTTTGCTTAAAAAACTGAAAAATCGAGTGTTTTTTTTCTGGAATTTGGCCATTAAAACCATTTATTTAAAAACACTTATTTTGGGAGTTTTTTTATGTAACTTTCCCAAAATACGTCACATAGTCAAAAGAATGACAGTTTTGTGCAACTGAGGACCTAAACCATCGATTCCAGGTTGATTTGGAAAAAATTTTTTTCTGACCGATTTTTCCTTTTTTCATAAGGGGTACCATCATGGTTTTTTGCGAAAAATGGCCGAAAATGAAATTTTTTAGCTAAGAATACAAATTGATTGGAAATTTTGTGACGAATTCAACGAGGTATGACATTCCAAGATCTGACCATTATGTCCAACGGTTTTGATAAAAAAACGAGTTGCATTTATCCAGAATTTGGCAATCTTAAAAACACTTTTTTTTAACAGTTTTTGATGTAACTTTGCCAAAATAAGACGAACAGCCAAAAGAATGACTGTTTTATGCAGCTGAGAACCTATGCAATCAATTCCAAGTTGATTTGGTAAAATTTATTTTTTGACCGATTTTGGAATTTTTCATAAGGGGTACCATCATGGTTTTTTGCGGAATTGGGCCGAAAATAAAAATTTTAGATAAGAATACCAATGGATTGGAAATTTTGTAACGAATTCAACGAGGTATGCCATTCCAAGATCTGAACATTATTTCCAAGGGTTTTGATCGAAAAACCGAAAATAAAGTTGAAATTTTCTGGATTTTGCCTTTAAGATAGCTTTTGTTCTTGTTTAATTTTAACGTTATTTCCTTTTGTGACCCTTTTTTGTCATCTGTTTCCTAAACTATAGTTCTACATTGATATCTCATCTATATAAAACCAAACTCGAAAATACATACCAATTAAGTTTTCCTATTAAGTTAATGGTTTAATTCACACTGCACTTGAATTGGAATTTGGTTAGTTTTTGAATAACATACGTTTTTCATTTGGTAAGTAAAACAAAATAGTGCCGCCATCTATACAGGCATCTTAAGCGCCACCTAAGCTGACCGCTAAACTCAATGAGCGCCATCTATGTGTGAAACGTCAATCGGTTAAAACGCTGGTTCACAAAAATTACGAAAGGGCGCCACTGAAAATTATCGGTTGGGCTAAAATTGAATGTTATGTTTTTGTCCGCTTTTCACCGATCTTATTTTTCAAAAACCAATGAAAATGTTATAATAAGCCCCCAAAAGTAAAAAATATTTGGTTTATGTTTTTCGCATTTCCATAATATGTACTTTTATTGCGTTTTCCTTTATGCATCGAATATTTGAGTTACTGCTCCGTTCTATCCACTTGACATCGGGTTTATGTGTTTCTGGTTTACTTATTCCTTGTCATTGCCAGCATTCATGGGTAACTCGTACACTCGATTAAAGATTTATGTGGTAGCGTATTTATAGACACATATAAAACTATAGTATAGTATAGTATGTATATATATATATTGATCGGGGATCTTAGGGCACATCCATAAACTAATGATAGAGATAATAATTCCGATTTTACACCGCATATTGGATACAATCATACATTTTTTTTTGATCAATAGACACTTTTTCAGGTAATGCGGTGTCAATCAATCAATATCTGAAGCCAAATCAATCGATAACTCCTGACAAAACTATTGAGTGGCAAAGTGGTCTTGTTGATGAGTGTATTTGGGGTTAGTACTTTAACTTAAATTTATAAAATTTGACTAGTTGAATTTGCTTTACACATTTTAAGGTTGCATTTGCTTTTTTCTGTTTTCTGTTTTCCCGAATATACGTTTTAACATATTGCCAAGACTACAAACTAATTAACATTAAAGACATTTGGAGTGCCGTAAACGTAGATGTAAACTTTAGCAAGAGAAATCGTTAAAGATACATATACTTTGTGATATTTACGTGTGTTGAGTATTTTGGATGTTAGATTTCAATAGTCGTACAGTAAAAGTATGCGTATAAATTAGGACCACGTATAAATATAATACAGTAAACTAAATAGTTAAGTCTAAGTCGAAAACTAAATTAAGAAACCTACAAAGTGTATTTACAAGAATATATTCTCTCTGGTCTCGCTTCACCTTTTCGCAGGATGAAACTCAAGCTCGTGGTTGTGGTCCGTGGGTTTAATTGGATTTTCTTGCGTAATCGTTGGGTTGTTCGAAGTGGGGTTAGCTTCATCCTCCTCAACTATCATATATTTACGTATAAATGCGTCAGTTTTGCGACAGACAACGAATACAGCGAACATCCATCGAAGGCGATGGTTTTATCCTTCTTCAAATATATTTATAGTGATCCTTTTAGACCTTGCTCTCGGGTCCATCGGCCACGTGTTTGAAGGCCAATCGAATGCGCGACAAGTAGTGCGAGCATATGTGCCCGTAGTTTTTGTTATACCACTCCGGTGTTTTGCCCCTAAAAGTAGGCAATTGATTGGTTAATTTATTTGTTCAATATTTGTTTAAATGAAATAAACAACTCACTTCACATCCACTCTGGCCAGATGCATCACCCTTGATCTTCCGCTGCCGCAAGGCTCGATGAGATACCGCGAGGCGAGGACCACGCCCCTTACCGCCCCGAAAAGGGGCTTGGCCTTGGCATGGTCGATCGAGGTCTCCACTATAACGCAGGCACCGCGCGGCAAATCCGTTTGCCAGGAACTAAATCAGGGAGTTAAAGATCAAATTTAACATTTTAATACATATTCTTTTACTTTATTTCACTGATCTTACCGCAACACACAAAAGTCAGTGGTCAGTTGGCCGTCCAGCGCATACTGATAGATCTCCGTGCGATCATCCAGCTTCTTCACCGTCTGACACTGCAGCAGATTGGCATCCCAAGAGGCTCGCTGCTTGATCACATACTCGAGGACCTCTCGTGGAGGTCCTTCGATCTCCGTGGCACAGCGCCAAAGTCTCAGCGGATGGCCATCGCCCACCTTCTTGTAGGCAATGTCCACATTACTGTCGGTCAACGAATTAATGCTAAACCAGCCGCGGGTTCTGTAAAATAATTCAATGATACATTTCTATTAAGTTAATCAGGTTGTTTCATTCACTAAATGCATTCACATTTTACAGTAAACTTATTGAAATTAACATTTAATTTTAGAAATATTTTAAAAGCAGTAAGACAAATCTTTGCGATATTAAGAGTAAAACATAATTTTAGCAATCAAAATGTTTCATTTAAATTTGTTGTAAACTAAGCCGTATATTTGAAATAAATAAATATAGTCACAGATATATTTTTAATACTTTGTTTCACAAATTTAAAACTGAAGTTGAAGCACTAAAGTGTCTATAATAGTATGTGTTATTTAAAGTCACTTACTTTTCGCGACCCTCCTTGATGGTGGCACTGGTGCACTCGTAGAGATATCCCCGCCAGTTGTGGAACTGCATGCCCTCGCCCAAGGCCTCCAAAGGAAGGGGCTTCGACTCCTCCATGTAGCTGAAGTTGCACTTGCTCAGCTTCTCCTTGGCGGCCGTGTAGATCTGTTTGTAGTGCTCGATCATGAAGGACAGGCACTCGTGCGAGGCCTTGGCCTCCGCCAGCTCCTTCATGTCCGGCATTCCGGATCCCTTGCCCTTGCGACGCGGGGAAGCGGAGACGGAGGCGGATCCCGTCGAGATGGACGAGTGGAAGATGGACTGGGCCAAGCACACTCCCAGATTGTTGCTGGTCATCTGGTTCTGCGGCGAGTTGGCCGCCACAATGGTCAGGAACTCGAGCAGCACGTACAGGATCTCCCGGTTCTCATCGGGCAGCAGGAGCACAGCACATTGCACAGCATCCAGACGCACTTCAGCTGGGAGATCTGAGAATGAAATGTAAATAGAGTTTATTCGAGTTTTCTTAAACTAATTTTAATCTGACATTATTTAACATCAAAAGATCAATGTCCATCAATTAATTTTCCATTAATGGGCTTGCAAGACTTTGTGAAATATGAAAAATAAAATATAAGTCCATAAGTCGAACAAGTTTAATTCTTTAATTAAAAGTCTCCATAAATCCTAATGTTTATGGTGGCAAATGATGGTTTGAGTTGTGGAAGATCAACTAAAAAGCATTGTAAGAATACTTTTCTTTTAAAATAAATAAGTATTATGTATTTTTCATTTATCTTTTTCTTAATTTAAAACCCCTATTTTTATGTTACTCACGTTGGAAGATGGCCACAAAGGTCTCGGACATCTTGGTGGTCAGCAGAGATTCGGGTAGTTCGCGGAAATACTGTTTCAGCATGTCGGCCACATCGTAGGCCTGTTGCAGATCGAAAACATCCATGCACTCGGCGGTGGAATCGGTGACTTCGATTTGTTCGCGCAGCTTGATGATTCGCGACTTTCCACCGCTCTTCCGGAAAATTCCCACCTGATCGAGGGCATTCAGCTGCAGCCAGCGGAAGGCAGCTCTCACTGCCATGGGAAGGGTTTGTCCACTGCGCTGGAGGATCATCAGAAGCGGCACCCCGAACACCTTCTTGTCCTTGTAGTCCGGCATCTTGATCTTCTTGATGAACTTGGGCAGCTCCCAATTCCAGCCCGATCGATGCGAAGGGCAGTACCGCTCCATGTGTCCGGTTAAAGTGACCAGTGCCAGTTTTCGGATTATCTGCAGCTGACCCGCTGACATGGCGGCAAATGGAATGCCACCATTGTCCTCTTGCAGTGGCTCGATTTTCTTCGAGAAGCACTTGCGGAATATCATATTGGGTCGCTCCTCCATCTGGAAACTGTGCCAGCGCACCACTGGCTGTCGCTTGGAACCACCATTTGCTGCCCCACCTCCGGCCTGATCCTGATCATCATTCTTGGCCTCCTTTCGCGAGGTGCTTCGCGAGCGGAACGATGACGAACGGAAGCCACCTTCCCGCTTCTTCGAGTCCTTGCCCAAGTTCAGTGAGCCTCCGCGTGTTAGTTTCTTCACCTTCACCTCGGTGGTATTCGAATTGGCATCCTTGATGAGCAGCTTGCGTCCCTGGTGACACTCGGAATCGGAATGGGCCCCGATATCATCGACCTTTCCCGTGCGCTGCAGGAATCGGCGGGCCTTGGAGGGTTTTCGCAGGGACAACTTGCCACCCGTCGACGACTCCTGGCTGTCACTGTGATAGGACGAGGAGTCATCCGATTTGCCCTCCTTCAGTTGCGACATCGGACTGGAGAAGAAGTGCAGCGGACTGGTGCGCATCGATCGTGGCGTGGTGGGTGTCCTCTTCGGGCTGGAGCGATTGGGACTCAGGAAGTTGTCGCTGTGGCTGGGCACCTTGAGGTCGTTGCTGAAGAACGGCGCCTTGGGGAATGTGTGCATGGGGCTGAGGGCCGAGGGTGAGGGCGGGGTGGAATAAACGGCGTCCGGTTTGCGCAAACTACTCCGCTGGCCAAATTGCGAGAGGTCCAGCACTTGCGGTCCACTGATCACCACATTCTCGCGATTCTGCCGCTTGCGACGTCGCGATTTGATGGACTCCACCCTCCGGAGCAGGGCCTTGGCCTGATCCTTGATCCGCTCGCTGCCACTCCTCCGCAGACGACCGCTGTCCGAGCCCTCGCCCAAGGAGGAGCCATCGGTGGCCACACCTCCAGTGCTGGCCTTGCTGCACCCCGGTATCATCAGCGTGATCCCGGCGCCGTCCTCCTCGAACCGATCCGGACTCGACTCCTTCGACGAGCTCTCCGTCTTCTCCACATTCAGGCTCAGAAGTCCCGGCGGCGGCAGCTCCAGGCCCATCTCACCGATCCGCGACCAGCGGCGAATGTGCGGTTGGAATGTCCAGTGCTCGCTCAGGGCGAAGTTCTCATCATCCGATTCCTCCTTTTGCTAAGTACACAAATATTTAAATACCAAAATGTTGTTAATAAAAATAATCCATAAATATGGAAATATAAATATTCACTTATATGAAAATGAATTAAAGAGTACGTAAATATAGAAAGTTAAGGCTAAATGAATTTGTCCGAATAATATAAACTTTTTTAGGACGCTTACAAAAAATTAATTTTATTTTCTTAGAGACATTTGACTTGCATATTTCAAAGAGAAATAGATTGTTGAATGGCTTTTTTATTAAAAAAAGAAGTAGAATACAATTATTGGAGCTCGAAATAATTAAAATCCTGTCCAAACCGTTTTATTTATTTTTAGAAGAACTTGCATTAAAGAAAAATCACAATGGAACTTTTGGTGCCCATCCTATAAGTTTAACTTTATTTTAATATTCCGTCAAGTAACAGATAAGGTCCTTCTTTGTATGTGTCGCTACAACATAATCATTGAAAAAATCCCAAATCCTTGTGGGTTTTATCAAGAATGAAAACCAGAGTGTGGTGTCATCTTACCTGTGGTGTTTGCGGCTTGTGCGATTGGTCCAGCCGCATGGTGGCACAACGATTGAGGACGCAGAGCCGGCGGTATAGGGACTGCAACTGATCGTTCTCGAGATTGGTGTGATCTTTGGCTACATTGTTCAGGTCGATCGGGAACTGATGATCTGCAATGGCAAACGGATGATGCGAAAGGACAACTATTAGCTGGATTTTATATGGAGTATGGGTTTTTGCGACCGCACGTCTCGACGACGCGTGAAATTCTAATTGAGAAACTGGAAAAGTCGAACGCCCATGGCGCCAGCGATCATTAAACGGGTACGAGTCGGGTTGCTTCGTATGCACGATATAGTAGTCTGCCATCGGGCAGCTGAATTTCCACAGTGTTTTTCCACATATTTGCGTGGCCAATTCGCACGTAGGAAATCAAGTTCCAAGGCGACCGCCGCCTCGGCCACAAAAAGCAAAAAAAAAAAAAGGAAATATGAAAAGATTATACCCAGACGTTTACACATGTCGCGACGCGTCACACAGACACAAATAATGAAGCGGCGATACAGCAGATACAGATACATTTGCATCTGCAGCTGCAGATAATGCTGCTCGACATCCGTAGGATGCATTGCCTGGAAAAGCTGCATTGTTTGCACAAATATTGTTAGCATTACAACAATATTTTGTTCTTCTTGAAAAGCCATTCACGGTTTGTTGAACTTTCGGCTCGAAAGTAACGCCCCAACTCGTCCGCTTCTTTCTTTCCTTTTTCCATTGGGAGCTTTTTATAGTTTTGTTTACGCTCCTCCAGCGCCTTTCTTTTCACGCTCTTGGCCCTGCTGCGTGCGTATTTAAAAGTCCATTTCGGATGCTCCTCTTTAAACAGCCAAGTGTTGTGTGTTTAGTTTCCAATTGAAGACATTCGAGTAAACAAATGGGGGAAGTGTGCCAGTGGCAGTGCCACCAAGTGTTCGGCTAACCCATTGGGAGTTAGTTACTACACTCCGCTGACGTCAGAAGGGGGAATTATTTGTGGAGCCCATGTAATGTTTGGGTGCTTTTCCCTCCCCCCTGAGACTTTTCACAGTTTACACGAGGGTGATTATTTATTGGGCCGATTATATGATTAATCTTTTTTCTCAGCCAATGACGCAGATTGCAGTGAAATTCGAATGTAATTAGGCACAATTTATGGCCGTTTTGGGGAAAATATAAAAGCAATTAGCCTGGAATCTAAATTGGGATGCAGATTTCATTCGAATATAGAACTTTATGGGGTCTCCACGAAACAATTGTTGTTTAGACTTCGTACGATATTTTCATTAAGTCTTTACAGAGAAAGCAATTAATATTTTGACATGTTACAAAGGAATATTTGAATATGCTAATGCTAAACACAAAACACATGGTTTGAAAAGTGAATGAAAGAACGGAAACTCGCTTGAAAATATGTGATATTTTATGGTATTACCAATGAGTTATTTTCACCACTCCTCAAGTTCCGTGTCTTGGGATTTGGCTCCCAGGAAAACCAGTTCTTTTGGACCAAAAAATCGATCGCCTTGGCTGCATTAAACAAGCCTCATGAGCTCTTATTGCCCTCTTAAGCACTCCCATATGATCCTGGCCTGGCGCAGGTCACACCCTCGAATTAAGTCTGCCACTTTCGGTGAGTAATGTGCGCAAGAAATGAACAAAAAGCAAACAAAGGCTGGTGAAAAATGCTCCATCCTCCTTCCCCCTTTTTTTTGGTCCTGGGCCCATGGGCAAATTAACAGTCGCTTACAGCCGGAACACCTCCTTTCAGCGAACCCAGTATTCCAGTCCAAGTGACAGACCAGCGAGGAACTTACACACCTACGGCATTTTAATTTGCAGGGCCAAACTCAAAAAAAAGAATCCACCAAATGCTGAGGAATGAAATTTGAGCAGCAATCTGCACATGCGCCGCTGCCTTGTTTACACGAATACACGAAACTCATTAAAATACGCATTTATCATGTTGTCCCCGGTCAGGAGAGATGGTCATGCAGATGGGATTGGGACTGGAATTGAAGGCTCTGCCTGGGTTGGGCTCCAGTTTAAATGTGCGCACAAATTATTCCAAAAGTCGGGAGTATAAGATTTGGTTTCTTTCACTCAAAAAAAATAAATAATTAAAGACTGCTTAATCAGCAAATAACCTTTAACAAACTACTAAGCCTAACTCTTAAAACAATGTTCTCAGGATGAATAATACTGTTTTACGAAACTTGACCTTTAGTTTTCAACATTAATAAACTTTTACTTTATTTTTAAGTTTAGCATGCCTAAAAACTTCCAATAGATAAGCTTACATCAGGTGCACATTCAAATTAAAAGTGTGTAAAATCATTTTAAAGCTTAATTTTTTTTCTGTGTAAGTTTTAAGAAGTTGGTTCTGCTCTTGAATTTATGCAATACAATTCGCATATTTCAAGGTCGGCGACAGGGCGCCTGCGGACATGCCCAAATTGCAGGCTCTCCATTTCAGATTCACTTTTTGGTCTTCGCGTTTATTCCTCTGCTCGCTTTTTGGTCATAATTCAAATGAAGTCGGCGAACTTTTTTGGAATGGCAGCCAGGCTTAAGAATGTACTTTTGGGCTTTGTTTGTCTCCATTTTTGTGCAGATCATCAATCTGCGAGGCCTCCAGGCGTTAAATTCGCTGCGACAAATGCTCCTGAGAAGGGTCGTCTTCGTTTGCGATTAAGGAAATCAAATAAATATGCAGCTTGCGCAGGGTTCAATGAACTGATACTAACATTTTGGCTGGCGGTTGTAGTTGGCCAGCCTCTCTTCAAAGGCCAAAGCCCTTTCATAACTTAAGAAACAGCCAAAAAAAAATCGAAAAAAAAAACCGAAACCATTTTAATTTTCGGTTCTGTGCAGAGTTTTTTATACGAAGGTGGTCCTCATAAATTCTTTTGGCCTGCGTGTCCTTTAGCCTTTTATTATATTTTATCTTAGTTTGGTTGTTTCACGTTTTTGCTGGCCTCTCATGTTTTTTTTTTTTTTGGTTTTCAGTGCGTTGCTTTGGGTTAAATTCTTGAGATTGCCCTGATCCGGTAGGTAGGCGTTGCTGGGCTTTCGTTTTCGCTTGAAAGGATTGGGATGGGATAGAATTGGATCGGATGGGGGATCCGTTCAGCCTAATTGTTGTCGCGGTTTTGTGCCGCGTGCTTGGGGTATCAAATTCGCTATCATGTCCCGGGCAGCTCTTTTGTCTGCGGCTGGTGTTGAAATCTTTAGACGTCGTGAGGCGGCACTTAAATTGTTCTCGAATGTTGCCACGTCATAAATGTTTTGTCTTTGGCTTGCCTTCATTTTTTTGTGCTCCTACTCGGACGGGTCAGCGGCGAAAGTGAAAGTTCGTGTAATACAATTAATAAACTGCCACTTGGAGAGCGTTAAACACACAAGACTAAATGGCGGGCATGTTGGTCAAGTGCCTTGGTCGCCGCTGCTGCGTCACTGCCGATGACGAGACCATCAATTACCGACCACCAGCCTGCCACGCCCCCCGGGCAAAAGCATGCTGACACGACATGCACTGAGAAAAAAAGGGGGACTTTCAAAGTTTAGCATACAACTGAGAAGAAACTTTAACTTTAAATTTAAGTTTTCGGAGGTGTGTTTACTTTTTGTTTAATAATGGTCGGTATAATAATTCCCAACAAGTATTTAACAAATTATATTTAACATCCTCGCTGAAAATATATACTTTTAAGGACATAAAGCTCTCAGTCTTTAAGTTAAAACTTCCTGGTTTAACTTAAGCTCCAAAGGGAAATATTAACTGATTTTATAAGGTACAAAAGGAATTAACAATATAAAAAGTTCTTTATAATCTCCACTTCAAAAGTATGAACTGTTTAATCGGCATTTTGAAAGAATCAATAACATGATATTTAAATCATTTTGCGATGAACCAGACAATAAAGAATTATTCTTTTAAGAATGCCAACCTAAAATGTAAATGCCCGATTTCTCTTCATGATTTTTTAGTTTGTGAAGTTCTTTAGCTATTTTTAAGGTTTTTTTTCTTAGTGCCGCACAAAACGGAAGTGCGTAGTGGGGAAACTATGGGCATGTGGTTCGCACTTACCTTCGTACATCTGCGCATATTGCGGAAAGCCTGCAGCTCGCAGCCATTTGCAAGCCTCCACGGCTTCGATTTCTGCAAGAGAGAGAGAAAAGGCAGGATGAATATGCGTTTCCACATTGCACATACGCAGTGGAAGCAGCGAATTAAATTACTTATAATTAAGTTGCCCGGCGAATCCTTTTTGCCGCACCAAATTCAATCCTGCCGGACGGCAAAACCAATTAACCGGCCTGGTCAAGAAGTCGTCACCAAAGTCTGGCCATTGTCGGCGGGGTTTTCAGATTTCAGTTTTCTGTTTTCAGTTTTCAGGGTCACTTGATGGATTACGTTGTAAACCGACCAAATGGAGTTGACGGCTTAAAATTATGTGGCTGCGGTCATGGACATGGTCTTAAATTGTTTTTCGACTTCACCTCGACTTGAAGGCACACGAAAGTAAAACTTTCGCAGAATCTTTTTGCGGGGACTTGAAAGTGTAATGGGGCTTTAAGAGATGAAGATAGATTTGGCAAACTCATTGGGATAAAATTGCTTATTTATGCCGGGCTAATTTGAGACGAGCAGACAAAGAACGCATTGAACCGCAGATAAGAAATGAAAGTCATACTTTTTTATGAGTCTAAGACCCCAATGAATCCCAATCGAATTCCATCCAGTTCGTCTGAAACAAAGGAAGCCAAAGGCACTTGGCCTTAGCTATTTTAAATGCTAATCTGCTTTGCTTTTTCTGCTTGGCTCAATTCGAGTAACAGGATCTGGCGACAGCAGAGCTATTGATTTTTAATCAGCCTGAGTGACAACATGAAACAGTTTCCGGCTGCTTACTGCCAGCAGGAAAATATGAACCTATGTCGAAAACGAGTGGGGGTGATGGGGTGGGGCGAGGGGCAGGAAGGTGCCTTTGCTGAGTGAATTATTATTGAGTTTTGCAAGCGATTAACTTGCACGAGTATACCATCGGCGAAACGGGCCAATGGAGCGAGTGAGGGGGGGGGGGGGGACACCCCACCAACACCCAGCACCTGTCCAGGCTTCCAGGTTCCGTTTCCTCCGCTTCCTCCGCTCCTAAATGTCTCTGCAGTTATTTATAAACGAGAGCAACCCTTTGGACATCGATTTATGCTGCTGGCATTCTGACAGCTGCTCGCCGGACGCATGACCCGCTTCGCCCGGATCTTGGCAGCGGGCCAGGTCCTCAATGATTCGATTGGAGCGACAGTCCGACGGCGACCTGACCCAAGGAATAGCTGCCAACTGCGACCAGCATTATGTATGCAAATTGTGGGCGAAACTGGCATACCATTTGTGATGGCTTGCCTATGATTATGGGACAATTACCGCCATTGACTTGTGTATTTCTTTGTGTGTTTTCCAATTTTATAATGGTAATCAAATAATAATTTGATTTTCAAGTGGGTATTATTCTTTTAAGGCTGATAGAATGAAAACAGTTTTTAAATAAATATAATGGCTTAAGAGGCAATCATTTATCACATACATGAAAATAATGTTGTATTTAGCCTGCTTTTGCAAATGAAAGACAAAGTCTCGGTCTTTTTACAAGCAATTAACTAAAGATATATTCATACAAAAAATGCATTTGTAACTAATACAAATTTCTGTTTTTTAAGGAAGTCTCTTTTTAAGTCTTTGAACAATCAACTGCTTATAAAAAATGTATTACTTCCACTTGGTTGCAATTAAGGTGTGAGTGTATATAATTACTATCGTACATTAATTATCCAACTTTTACGTTGGCAGTATAAACTCTCAGTAAATGCCACTTGAGAGTGGTATAAATTGCGCATACGCCACGTTGCAGGCGCAAACTCATCTAAAAGCCATTTAAAGCGAGTAAAACACTGTGGAGGTGTGTGCGAAAGGCTCACTCACAGCTTATTGCGTCAGGTTCAATATTTGTTCCTGTTTACCCACACCTACTCACACACGTACACACACACACAGTACCGCCCAGTTGTTGTCCTTATTGTCCTTTGCCGTCCCATTTCCCCCGCTCAGTCCACAAAAGGCAAACCAAAAGCCAGCGATGCTGTTAAAAACATTTCCAAACAAGCCACGCGTAAATTCACGAACTTCACCTGCGCTCGGGATGATAATTATTCTGATGGAACCGAACAATGTGTGTGTTGAGCGGAGTTCGGGGGCGTTGGGAACCTGAGACGCAGCCGATGATCCGGACTACCATGTTGGCCCGGTTGACCTTAAGGCTAATTAAAAAATATATAAAATGCCAGACTGCCCGCCTTCCACGGGGGTGTTTAAAACAAAAACACATTCTTTTCTGTGTTGCGTACAATGTGAACTCTGCACTTTACAATTTCTGCTGATTATCTAAGTGATATTAAATTTCATGTCCAAGACAAAAAATAATGACTTGTTCTTAGAATCATGTTTCATAACTATTTGAAACGTAGTTCTAAGAACTAGTCATTATTTACAATACAAGTGCTTTAAGTTCCAACGCCAAATTAAGCAATCAGATAAATTGGAAATTACGTGAAATAAATAAAATTTGAATCTTGTTAAATTATTTTGGATGTTAAAGAGTAAAATATCCATCTTTGAAAATTTGCTTTATTATAATCTATGAAATATTCTTCTTAATTTATAAACGAGTTAAGCTGAGCTTTTCTTTGAACTGGTTTTCCTTTGTCTCACCATTTTGCATGTATAATGATGTTTTTGCCTGAAACCGGGATTAATTGTGGCCTTCTTGGTTGCTATTGTTAAAGCTTGTTGTTCACTAAATTTGTTTGAATTTTCAATTAAAATTTGCATTGATTTCATGAACCAGCCACAAGGACCGCAATGAGTAAAAGTCAAGCGAGCTATCTGTTTCTGGTCTCTGTGGAGGAAAGGAAAGGAAAGTGTCAATGAAAGCAAAGTTCCTAACACAATTGCCGTAGATGTAGATTTTATCCTTCGCTTGGAAAATTCCTCCCATTGTGTGGGTGCGTGTCAGTGACACGTTTTTCCTCTCGTGTGTGTGTGTGTGTGTGGTGTGAGTGTGCTCCAGAAAAATGCAGAAAAGCAGAGTGAGATGACATTGTATGCGGATGACAGACAACAGCGCTCACCGAACTGGTTATGTAAAGGATTTGGCTTCTATGCCATGCGTTTCCATAACTGAAAGGCCTTTGTTACGCACAGCTAAAACTTTAAGCTGGCTTAATTTAGTTAAAAGGCCAAAACATTTGCCATTCTGTAAAAGCTTCGACCTTAGTTGGGAAAAAGAAACATACTACGTTGTAAATCGATTTTGGTTGACACTAATTGATAGCTAATTCAATTGCCACAGGCTTGCCGAAGCATTATTCAGCAATTTCATTAATTTTCCCGCTAAACGATTTTATATGCCAATTATGCTGCCATATAAACAGTAAATTGCATCGCCCCAGGAGCCAAAAACAATACAATTTTACAGCCAATGACTGCGGTAAACGCAAATGAACCGAGTACGTTCCTAGTTCCCATTAGATAAATAATTGTCGTAGGTGTCGTGCCATTAATTAATTGCTGGCCATTGGCAAGGCAAGCTGCGCGTATGTTTTATTGTCTGCTATTGCATTCAAATGTCAGGCGGAACATAAATTTCAGTCACCTTGCTGGTAAGCCATCAAAGAGAACGCTGGCAAAAGTAGATTATTAATTATAAATTGCATACCAGAAATAGCCGTCTGCACAGTTGAACTTGTAATTTTCAGATTGTTTTCAAAATAGAGTCAGGCCAGGCGTACATAAATAGACATGTGCACACTCCTTTCCTCTTCGTTGGGCACTCAAAAAGCCTGCTGCCTGGCAAAAGGATCTGGCTATTTATAACACATTCTGGGCCATAAGTGTGCGGCAGCTGCTTGGCAAAATTGCCAGTGGCCCTCCCCGTGTAACCAACTCCCATTTTTGGCCGGGGAATGGGTGCAACAAGTGGCAGAAAACGTCAGTTTAATTTGCTGTGAACTCAACGATGGGTGGAGCTGCTCACTTTGCCAGGGGCAACCATTTAGAGCCCTTCGTGTAATTGGGGACCAAGTACTAGAGCTTCTTCGGCCAAATATAACAGATCATTGAGCTTTTAATGTGTTTTTAATGTCAGCGTATTATATGCGGCATATTTCCTGCCCAGCGGTAGCGGGAATCGCCTTTCGCACACAATAAAAATAAACGAATTTCGCATTCGCAAGAAAAATAATCAAACAATAACAGAATAAAACAAAACAAAGCAAAGCGGCTAACGAGAATGGAAAGTTTATATACATATTGTTATAACCCAAAAATGGCAAAGGAAAATGAAATGAAATTAAACAGTAGCAAAGGCTCGTGGCAAACAGGTGGTTTGTTATGAATTTTCCCTAAGGGAATGCCGAATAAAGAACAAGGAAATCGAATTAACCTGCCATAAAAATGCCTTTCCAATTGGCCATTCAATTTTGTGTATACACTTTAAGAGCGATATGTATTTTTTTGAAGGCACGAACTGGAGAGGCAGGTACGTTTAATAAGTAAAACCATTTTCCGCATTTTTTACCCGTTCACGAATATACATATTAATTGTATAATAATTTCTTTCCATTTATTACTACACGCAAACAATTTTCTTTATTTAAATGAATGGCTTTGCTTGACTGGCGCGCAATTTCACTAGAGTGTAAAGAAAACGGCGAAACCGGTGGATGATGATGATGATTATGATGATTATGATGACTATGATGGTCAGTGGTGGGGTGTTCATAACGCTGGGACATTGACTGACTGACTGACTGACTGGATGGCCGAATGATTGACTGGCTGATAGAATGCTAGTGACAGAGTCGGGCACTTGTTGCAATTCCTCTCACCATATTGATATACATATTCCCAACTAGCGCTGCGAATAATTCGATTTAAATGCCAGGCGTCGACTGATAAGTACAAGCTGTGCACTGGAAATAGCCGTGCCCCGCATTCCCATTACCAAAAATAAACGGCCAAAAGCGGAGGGGGTTCGGCCGGGGAGGGGTGCCGAAAAACCATAAACAGCCAATTGCTGGCGGTGCGAGTGGCGCGCGCGCATTCCTTGCCTCCAATAACACAATGATCCAGACACGCATATTTCCATAATTGTAAACAAAGTTTTTTATAATTTGCAAACGGGCAGCGGGCAAAACAAATTTGCCCTTGAAGCAGGGCCACACTTTAAGGAAAGGTTTCTTCGTTCTAAAATTGATAGCGAATTCAGGGGAGTATCCTTAAAACATCAATGTTTTTCCAATGCATTGGCAGTAGGAACAGGAATCAGGATGGGTTTCCTTTAAATGTCTATTTAATCTTATACATTTCGTTTAAGAATTATCTACTACAAAGCAAGAAGATCATTTTAGTTAATTTCTAATAGTGAAGGTATTTTCTTAAACAATTTAACAAGCTGTCAACGACTAATCATTTGTAAATAAGCCTCTTCTGTCATGTGAATATAACAATAAATAGTGTGATAAATGTTGTGTGCTTGTAGGTACTTGTACAATTACAATCTAACACTTTATTAAGTCGTAAAATGGTTTGAATGTAATTTTAACTTTAAAAGAATTTTGAGAGATTTATATACAAAACTATACAAATTTCCTTTTTAATGTTTCCTAATCAAGACTAGTGTTTTGAGATAAAAACTACCTGATCAATACTCAGAATATGGACAATAAGAAAATATGAATTCTTTCATTGTAATAATTATTTAAAAAAATATTTGACAATAGTCTCGAAAATGTGTTGAAGTACTCTGGTTTTTCCTCAGTGCAGTGGGCTGATGGTTTCTAGATGCCACTTTATGCTCACCTGCAATCTTGCGTTCGCGCATTTTCCGCCATAATGCCTCGGCCTTGCGTTTTGGCCAGTTCTCGAATTTCTGCGAGAAGCTCCTGAAGAACTTGTACTCGCGTATGGTGATGGACATGCGACGTTGCATATTGGCCAGTTTGGGCAGCGCCGTCTTGAAAAGCACTCACAAATGTGGTTTCTCCGAAAAAAACTATTAATTATTATCCGTCGATGGCGGATATCTTAAATTGTTGTACAGAAAATTACACTACAATACACTTCATTTCAAGCACACAATGCACCATAAAATTTGAGCATTTTTTATTTGGTATCGAAGCTATTTATTTTGATTTGATATTTATTTTTATTTGGCTTTAAGTCGGCGGCGTCGACGCGCTCCACCCGAGTTTTTCACTCGCTGCGGCCACGAAAATCGACAACCGTGCACGGCGCCTGTAAGAGCACTAATGAATTTGCAACGCGTTCGTTTTCCTTTCAGAAAATGGCGAGCCGACCGCACGAATCGTCCGCCCGAAGCACTCAAAACGAAGTAAACGGGCGCACGGGGCGGATGAACAACGGGGCGTATGAGCAACATGGATGTTCTGTTGCTGCTGCCGCTTTAGCCGTGCTTCTTCAAGAGCCAAAAGGTATTGTTACCCGAAATGGACGGGAGAAAAGGGCCACTTCCTGGCCCATGTAGAGCTATCGGCGCCACAATCGCTTATTATTATTTTCTGTGGTTAGTTGGCCAGGGCCACGGGCGAACAAATAAATAAATAAATGAATAACTGTCATGTTGATGATGCTTATTTCATTTTCATGTTCGCCAAAAGGACTCACGGCGAGGCAATGTCAGCTTATGTTTTAGTTGTGTTTCTTTTATGGGCGCATTCATTAAAATTTATACGTTGGCATGTGAAAGTTTCGAAGACACCGACAACCGCACCTGTTGCTCTACTGAAACCAGTGGGCGGTGGTGTGCGGAGTGGGCGTGGCTGTGTGTTTTGTTCACAGTTGGCTTGGCACAGTTATAACTGTGTGCTTGAGTGTGTTCAAGGTTAAGCTTTTGCTTGGTTTTATGATTTATGGAGAGTGGAATAAATGGCAGTTTCGTTTCTGAGAGAAGCTGTTGATGATAAAACAGCCGCACATTTGTTTGATATCACCATTGAGACTTAGTTATTCAGAACAATACCAATAGTAGAAGTGCAAATCCATTGTTTTCAGACAGCTGCAATTGGTTTGTTTAAGGATCACGTTTAGTATTCACAACTTGCACTGACAAACAAGCCCGTTTTTTCATTCTGCTGAAACCGATTAATTGGGTAAACAGGAAAATTATGAGCAAAATCATTGCAAGTCACTCAGCTACATTATTTCTCATTAATCTACGCCCCCTTTTGTTGTGGGGCGTGACTTGGTGCGGAAGACGGAACACGACGTGGACACATGCTCGTGTATTCCATAATTCCGTATATATTTGCGCCGGTGATGAACAGATATATATATATAAGAAATAAAATATAAATGCGGGTAATTTGTACTTGTGCAATATCAGATATAAATATTGATATATATGCAAGCGTGTTAATCTTTTCAATAAAGTAAACAACAGAATAGCCGGCCACTTGGGATGCCTGCTTCCGTTAAGAAAGAACAATAAGCTGGGAGGTGGCTCTCCTTAAAGCCTGCCATTATTGCCAACGGGGCGTATCAGCGATGCAATGGCACACATAAAATGGGCAATATAAATACGCGTAAGTATATCAGATAAGCGACTGAAGGCCGCGACCTTTTCAGAGGGCATGTTCTGCACGAAATGAACGTCACTGTAATGACGTCAGCCAGCGAGGAAATGGCAGGCAAACATTCAGATAATGGTCATAAAATGACCACCACTCGCTCTCTTTTTTTTTCCCCGCCCCCTCTGACGTCACTGGTCGAGATGGCTCCGACTGCTTTGTCTGTGCATAATTCGTTGGGGGCAGTCAGGCTGCAAAAACGAAATTGAATGAGCCCCAACAGCCACTGTAGGACACTTGGCGTCCAGTTAGTGATTCAATTTTTTCTCCCGTTCATTTATACGCCATTTTTAGCACAAAGAGTGCCATCACACCACCATCATCATCATCACCCATCGAGCTCTGGTCAAGAGGCAATATGTGGATACATCTGACTGTGTACACGAGGGGAAAATACCTCAACCAGTATAATTCATTGAATTGGCCCTTAACATTTGAAATATATTACTTCTAACAGGATTAATTAATCAGAAGATAACTATTAAAACCAAAGAAAGCTCAATTAATTTGCATGTCATAACTTTATCCTTTGTTTTTTAAATTTAGGATTTTAAGCAGCAAAAACTGGTAGCTACTTGAGCTATAACTTTGGTCGTTAAACAAATAAATTAATAAACTAAAATGATTTCATAAAGAAAACATGTTTTTATTTACAGAAAGAATATCATCATTAAATTTTAAATATATTATATTCTTGAAAATACGTTTAGAACATGTGTAAAAATGCAGAGCCTATTATTGAAAGATAGTTCTTGCCTTTCTGACTGTATCAACATTTTTGTTCAGTGTTTGTATACCAATGGGTGTTTGCACTGTATGGAGAGTGAAATTGACAGATTGACAGCCATTTTCGTTTGGGGTTTGGGTTTGGGTTTGGGATTGTGCCATTTGTATTGAAGTGTTGACGGAAGTGTTGGAAATTCGCAAAAAGAGCCGTTGCTTGGTGCTCTCGATATTACCCATTGCTAACCGAAGAACATGAAAGTAATTTAAATGACGGCCGCCCTCCAATTGTTTGGTCGAAATGAAAGCAAAAGTTGGAAATTGATTTGGTGCCCAAACAATGCCCTATGATGTGTGGAGTGGCCCTGCCTCCGTTAACCCACAGCATATAGATCAGGCCGGCGAATAATTATAGAAATTATGAATCATGCCCCGACAGACTGTTATTATAAACCACTCAGGCTTAATAACAGACCGCTAATTGGCTGGCAGGACCACCGGCGCATCAAATCAGGCATTCAGCCATATTCAGCCTTGATGTCCCGTCCCAGTCCAGTCCAGGCCATTTAAATAACTCATTTAGCCCGGCTCTGCGGGTTTTTCTGGCTAAGGAGAACTCGTTGGTGCCCCGATCTCTATACTCTACTCACTACTCACTCACCTGCTAAATAGCGATCACTCTGCGAACGAGAATAGCGCAGTGTCTGTGGGAAAAAGAGGGAATCGGGGGATAGAGAATGTCCATTAATGTCTGGTAATCAAGTTGATGCGAGGGCGGGTAGATAAGTGCTGCAGGGGGATCGGGATCCATAAGCGGATTGGGATACCCTATGCCGGTGGTATTGTAATGCTTCTCAGAACTTGCCAATGCGAAAATAAAGCAAGATAAAGTATGTAAATAGCCTTGACTGAATAAAAAGTTAAGTAGAACTTGGAAGGCCTAAGAATGATCAAAATGAAAGTAACTTAAATATAAATACTTATGACTGTTTTGTACAAAAAAAAAGAGTTAAGCAACTACGAATGTTTCATCAGTAGTCTGAAGCGACTTAATAGATCAGATGCTTTAACATTTGTATAATAATTAAAAGCTTTAAAAAGTATCAACAAATTTTATAAATTTGGAGGGATTGATATATACAACTTTTACCACAATTTTAGTATTAGGAACAAGAAATCCAAACCTAATTCTTTAAAAATTAAATTAACACTACTACTTCTTGCTTCAGGAAATGCATTATTTAGCCTTCAACTGATTTGCTCTATTTTGTTTGCAAAAAAAACCGGTTCTTGGAAAGAAGCTTTCCCATTTTCGATCTACCCTCGCTTGTTCTTCGGTTTCAAGTCTAGCACTCACCAAATGCTGAGCGGCAAAGTCATCGAATCGCCGGCTCGTCTCACGCTCCTTGAGCAGCATCGGCGCCGAGTTGGACTTGGTGGACAGCTCCTGGATGCCACCAGAATCACCCAGTCCGCTGTGCAGGGAGGCGCTGCTGGGCGATGGCAGCTCCACGAAGTGGTGCAGTTGATTGGCGGCGGTGGTTGAAGGACTGAGGAGCGATTGGAAGGGCTCCTGTCGCAAAGCCAGCGAGAGTGGGACCCTCTCCTTGTGCTTGATGGCATGGTGGTGGATGGGCAGGACCTTCCGCGGGTGCACCATGGGTTGCGGTGAGTGGTAGTGATCCAGGGAGTGACTCCGTTGGGTTCTGGGCACCAGAATTGGCGGTGGTGCAGTGTACTTGCGTCGCAGGACCACTGGAGTGGCGGTGACACCACCTCCACCACTGGCACTGCTGGCATCGCCATCGGTGCAGTCACAATCGCAGATCCCAAACTCATCCTGGCATTCGTCGTAGTCCTGGGATTTTCCCGCCTTGTCCTTTTCCTCGTCCAACATGTCGTCCTGGGATTCATTGGCTGCCTCACCACCACTGCCACATTGGCTAAGGACCTCGAGGAGATCAGGGTCATCGGATGAGGCCACCGAACCGCTCTTCTGGAACTTCATCTTGCGCAGTGCCTCCAAACTGCTCACCGACTCATTATCCTGGGCACTTCCGCCCGTCCTGTGGTGGTGGTGATGATGGTGGTGGTGGTGCTGCATATGGTGGCTCTTCCAGTAGTGGGACATATCCTTTGGCGGCGTGGCCGTGCCAATGCCGCTCTCATTATTATCGTTGTCCAGTCCAGAGGAGTCCAGTGAGATGCCCGATTTCCCGGAACTGAGGACACCCGTGGCCTCCTCGCAGGCCGAGGAAGACGAAGTGGAGCTGCAAAGTGATGAGGCATTAAGACATTGACAAATCAATTCAAAGGGGCTTCCATTACACTCGGAACAAATTGTGAGACATACATTTGATTTTTAAATTTATTGAGCTAGGTTTCTTTTTTGATTTCTAAGAAAGTAATTAAGTTATTAAAGTGTAATAATTAAATTTAAATAAAGCAATCATAGACCTCTGCTTGTTAATTTTGACCAGTATAAATAATGTAGGAATTGGATTCGGTACCAAATGTACATTTAAGAAATAGGAAAAAAACATTTGAATTAAAATGAAAAACTCATAATCATGTTCTTTTAATTTAAAAACAGTCTGTGGACTATATTTCTATATTTGATGTATATTTATTAATATTAAACAGAAACTGGTTGAGTTGGATTAAAATTCCTCCTGCTATATAAATTATTTCTAAAGGAAAGCTCTAACATTTTGCCGAGTGTAATGTCTCAATGTTGGCCACTCACTTATTGTCTTCATCGACGGCGCCAACGCTGCGCAGAATGGACTCCTCCGAGGTCCAAATGGTCGATGTGGATCCTTTTTTGGTCACATCCACCAGGTAGCCGGGTGTGGCTGAGGTGGAGCCTTTGGCCGAGGCGGCTGATTGGGAATGGGATGTGGATGAGGCGGATGCTGGCGGCGGGGTTATGGCATTTCTGCTCGTCAGCGCCGCATGATTAATGCCCACCCGTTTTGGCATCGACATCGGCTGGGAGGCCAGCATTGTCTCCATGTCGCCGCCGCTCAATTGTCGCTGTCGCCTAGATTTCAAATCCTCGATGGTGGTCGCTACCGATTCACCTGTTGCCGTACCTGTTGCCATTGCCATTGCTCCATTGGCCGCTGCCATCTCTTCGATTTTCAATGCGCTTTGGAAATTTGTCAGCTTATGAGTTGCCGGTGTCGGAGTTATTGTGTCCACTTGGCCATTAAGTGGGGGGCAGGCCAAGCTCTTGCGTTGGCCCTGAGGGGGGAGGGATGCTCCCGCAGATCCTCCTGCTCCTCCTGCTCCTACTCCTCCTCCGAATCCTCCATTCGGCGCCGACAGGGTGCGCATGTAGGCAACATTCGAATTGGTTGCCGGCGATGCCTCGTTGCGTCCGCAATCAAGGTAAAACGACTGCAATGGAATGGTTGCCTGAAAGAGGCAAGGAATACACTTAGAAAATTGTTGTAAGAATCTATAAGAATTTTTTTTATAAACTAATTATTATAATAACAAGGGTTAAAGGCTTGATCTATATTGTTTTAATCAATATCATACTAGTTGTTCTCATAATAAGACGTATATATTGATAAAAGTTGCTTGAAGATAATTTTGATTTATTATTTGTTGTGATTTCTGGAATACTAATTTTATAAATAAACTGCATAACAAAAGTTAAATTCGTGAATGAAGTATAACTTTTCGCAAGTGCAGCAGGAGGAAGAACAAGTTAACTTATTAAAATATAGTCAGTCAGGTTTAATAAAGAAAAGTCGACACTGAGGGCCGCTGACAGTTTCGAGGGGCGCAACCTCAACCTCCACGGCCAAGGACCTTGAATGCATAATGAGCGTGGTGGACCTGGCTGCCCTCAGCCTCCAATAAAATCTGGAGACTACCTTGTTGGGATGTGCAGGCCAGAGACAATGCGAAAAAGGAAACATCAGCGGAATTTTTAGACATTGTCAAGTGGAACGCGCAAGCCGCGCAGGAATTTTCGTATTTTATGCAAATCTTTTGGCCAAGACGGGTTAGTTTTTTTTTTATCGTGTTTGTTATTTCCGAGGAAAGGCATCTCAATGGAGCCGACTTAGCGCACAGACATTTCCCCTATTGTTTTGGCTTATGATTTATAAGCCGCATGTGATAACAGCCGCTGGATTCTAAGAACACATGGCCAGCTGCATGTCTTTATTCACGGTCATGTTCCATCAGCAGGCTATAAGTGCGTTATGTCAATTCGATTTACAAGCCTTTGGCAAGCGTTTGACAATTTGGTTTTCTCATTTGCCGGAAAAAAACGCGGACTGCAACGGCAGCAACAGGCGGAAATTGATTTAAATGATTTATCGGCAGAAAAAAAAAACGTATATTTATGCCCCGAGTCGCGGTCTGAAACTGGGAACAGCGTTGCTGCTGCAGCAGGTTGCTGTTGTAGCTGCGATATTGCTGCTGTTGCGGCGATATTGCTGCCGTGTCTGCTGTTGCTGTTGCTGCTGCCGCTGATTCTGTTAGCGCAATTCCTTGGGGGCCTTGGGCGAATCGCTGGCCAGCGAAATTGGAGGCAGAAAAAAGTGTATCAGAGCCTGATTGGAGTTGCCAGGCGAGTTCCCGAAAGCAATCAATATGAAATGCCTGGGCTTTGTACTAAATTATAAACACATGAATATAATACCCAGCATTTAGGCATTTCCATTTAACATTAAAAATTACAAGCGATTTAATTCAATATTCAGTATTTAAACATTCACTGAAAGCATTTTATCCATTATAAGTGTTCGACATTTAAAAAATGAATTTGAGACGAAGATTAATATTATTTAATTCTGATTAACAAAGTTTATTGCATATCAAATCAATATTTAATAATTTTATAATTGAAATACTGTTTTTGTTTTTAGTTTACTAAAATAAATAATGTATAATTATTAATTAACTCACTTTATTAGAAAAAATGTTTGAAAACTTTCAATAAATTTGAAATAAAGTCTAATCAATGCCTCTCAGAGATATGAAATTTTCGTTCCAGAAGCGAATAAACTAAAAACCAAAAATATTTTCAACATTCCGGCTGCAGATATCCCCCTAATCGAGTGTAATTGGCTGCTCCGGACCAGACGACGCCCGTCTAAAAATGGTCACAGGATGCGGATGCGGTCCGTCAGTCAGGGGGGTCCTTTGGGAGCAGCAGCTCACATCTGTTGCTGTTTCGAAATCAAATTTGTAATGCATTATGGAGCAGTCTCGAGTGCCTGTTACGGCAGCGTCTATGAATTATTAATACGGACGATGGCGATGGCGATGGCGATGCCATCTCAGCGAACTGCGTGTTAATGAGCCGCCAACTCTCGCCGGCGACGCATTAATTGGGCGTCCAGATCATTGGCGTTTATGGGCATGGCCGGGAATCGAACATATGGCTATTTAAAGGCACTCGGGCGCCGACTCCGATCGATTTCGACTGCCGGGAAAATAAAAACTTTTACCATTTTACGGCTAGTTATCGTCCAGAAGATCATCTATCTTGCCGCGCACAATCGATTAATTTAGCGATTTTATCAAGGCACCCAAAAAAAATAAAATTCTCAATGCCCAATCTGTTTTACATATGTAAGCAATTTCCTATGATTCTCACTCACTCTCTCTCGCTGGCTATGTTGTGATTGAAATTGAAGCATTTTATGGCTGGGGAAAATTCAAATCAGTTTTATGACCGGCAGTAGAATTCGATATCCGAAACGCTGACAGAGACTTATTTAAATGTCATAAAATTGTGAACATTTCTCACAACAGGCCGAAGAACGATTTGGAAATGGAATGGAAAACAAATGAAATGTTTTCTTCGGTTAGTTAATGAAAAATGCAATAAAATGAACACAAAATGACACATAAAAATTGCCTTTTCCCTAGGTTGCCAGGGGGTTATCAAGAATTTCAGTGGAGGGGCAACAGTAAATGCTTCTAATTGATCATAAAAACGGGGCGCAAGAAATCTAAAAAATAAATATACATATAGCGTTTGTTTACTAGTTTCGATATCAAAGACGACTGAAAAGCTGAATGACAAATGCACTGGGCAACGCCTCAGCGTTCCACTTTTATTGATATGTGACCCAGAAAGTGCCGGTCTTCGAGTGTACACATAAGCATATAAGTATGAAGTACCCGAGACCAGACTATCGCAAATCGATTGGACATGCCCCTGACTGCCACGGCAAATGAGTGACTGAGTTGGCCGACCGAGCTGCCCGCGGTCACGCATGCGTACTGATAATAATTATCAAATCAAAACACTTAAACGCCTGCCCAGCCCATCGTCCTCCTCCGGACATTGTTCCCTGCTCCCTGCTCCGAGATCCCTGCTCCCTCGGCTCCTACTCCATGCTGCCCATTCCTCCTCCCTGGCTGCTGTTGTCCGTCGTGTTTGTTTGCCTTGCAGTGATTTGCAAGTTCTACTTAAGTCAAAGTGTCCGGGGCTCGTTGAGCTGCGTGAAAAGCTTTTTGTGTGTCGCGGCCTTTTGTCTGGACAGCCTTGCAAGGCCTTCACTGGGCGAAAATCAGCTGTAAAATGAACTAGTTTGTAAGGAGTATATATTTAACAAACCCCTATTATCAATATTTTGTGAATAATTACTGAAAAAATGTTTAAAGATCTACTGAAATCTTAAGTTTAGTGATTATTTGAACGGAGCTTACATTAAAAAGTTATTTTATTATTTTTGGTTTTATTTAATGACCTGGTAATAATATAATATTGTAATATTTTTGACACAACCTGTTGAAAATGTCCACCGAAAACCTATTAAAATAGAGTACATTTATAATACTTAATATGACATAGGAATTTTTTCTAGATGTTGTAAGAAATATCACTCTGATCAACCTGATCAAATGGCTACCTTCTTTTTTTAAAAGTTTCATTATTTTTAAATATTAAAAGTACGCTTGATATACTATAAAATAAATGTCTTATTGTTTTTTCTCAGTGTTGCCCAGCATCTTCTGCATCTTGCACATCTGCTGCATCTGCATGGTTCATCATCATTAAGCGCATTGCGTTCGACGATGATGCCCCCTGCCACACACACGCATGTAACATGCTGCACAAGATTCACTTTCGCAGGCAGAAACAGGGTCCGATCTCCCCATAAACATTGCAGCCAACTAAATTGGGGCGTTTTGGGTTCCGCTCGGTCTGCTGCCGTGTTGACAGCCCCGGCAAAAAGTGAAGTGTTCTGCGGAGATCTCTGGCCTTTCTGATCTTTGCTGGCTTGCTGCAGGGCGGCATGGTGACCCAGTTCACTCCACTCCACTCCACTCCTGCGCCTTTCGAGCGAAACCATGCCAAACGAAACGAAAAGCTGAGAAACTGTACCGTGCTTTACTTTCATTGACAGTTTGTCCAGCGACGATTTTTGGCAAACCAGGCACGCACTTGTGCCCTCGATACAAAAGGCCGATGTTGGCTGTCTTTGATTTATGCTGCCGTTGGTAGCTCATAAATCATGGCCCTCAGTCCCACTGTCTCACTGACTGATTGACCGAATGAGTGTATTGCCGAGCTGGCAACTCGACCACATTCTTTGCCTTAATTAGTGCAGTGGGGCTTAAGCGCTTTTAATTGGCACTTTTACCCGAGCGATTAAGGCAAAATATGACAGCTCCAGTGACTGGGTCCCTTTTCCAAGCAATTCCCAAAAATTCGACAACTATTCGGCAGTCAGATGCCAGGAAAAACAGTAACGGACGCAATAATATACAATAACATTTAATTTATAAACGCTTACTTTTAAATGTTTTTAAATTTGTATAATAGCTATAACTTCTACCATTCTGATAATTAAGAAATTATTAAGGAACGCATGATTTTTCTAGCAAATTGGAATATAAGTTCGTTAAAATATCAAAACATTTTCCTTTCCATTTATAAATGCAGATAAATAAAGAAAATCAAATCATTTTCTCACTAAGCACTATTCCTATGAACTTGGCTGTATTGAACAGAAAACAGATACAGGCAACCTTATTTCCTGTTGCCTTTCATTTTGCAACTAGAACGAGGAAAAAGGAAATGGGCCAGGCGATGTTACTCTGCCAAATGCAGCAGCTGAATGTCATATCGATTGGTAGCAAATATTTCGTCTTGTCAACAGCCCAACAACAATGGAGCCCTAAAACCCCCATCCGTATCCACTCCTCGATTTTTTGTGGGTTTTTGGTGTTCGCTTTCGGTGTTGATGTCGTGTTTTTCCATTGTCATGGCACGCGTTTTGAAAATTAATATTTGTCTTGTTGCAGCAAGTCTGCTGCTGCTGCCTTTTTGAGGTTTTTCCCCCTGATAATCGGAGACCCCAGAGGTGAACGCAATGTATGCTAAGCATATGCAACCGAGGAGACCGCAAGCTCAGTGCCGTTTATGAGCCGTTTTGGCTTATAAATGTTTTAATTAGATATATTCGGTTTGATAAGCCGGAGACAGCTAACAAGTTGGTTAGTCTGTTTCGGGGCCTATGCTTTATGGACCTCGGCTGCACAAAGTGGGTCAGCGAGTTGGCCAAAGATTGCAGCCACTTTTCTAGAGACTACGCGAGCACTCAGAAAAATAAATTCCAATCAAAAATTTACTTAAGGTCTTCACAGATAAATATGAAAGGGGCTTACCCTACAAATCTTAACTAGCAATTGTTGGAATTATGAAAGTTTTATTATTTTCTTCTTAATTGCTTTAATTTTCAGTGCATTGCAACAAGAATAAGCTACATTTTCATTCGGGTTATCGAAGAGTTAAAGTTTTCAGCCTGTCCCTCTGAACTTTGCTCTATTCTCCGCAGCACGCTGATTGCAATTAGAAAATCTTTTACGACTCTATGCCCGGCAATCAATCTCCAATTGTCTTTCAATCTAAAGCTAAAGAACTGCACTAATTAGAGTATTTTATTACACATTTTATGGCGATGCAAAGCCCCCGAAAAATGCAACTCCCATAAAACTTGGCCGTCTATCTTATTCAAACAGTTCAAAGTTTAACTCGTTCAAGTGCCAGCCACCGAGTGACGACTGTCTATCAACGGACCACTTCCCTGCCCCCAAATTTCATCTCCATCTTCATCTGCTCATCTCCAACTAATCCATCCAGTTGCCCATAAATTTCACGCGCTTCAGTTGCGCATCCGGCAAATGGATGGATGGCTGGAACATATGGCAGTTCTTGAAAGAACATTCCTTCCGCACCGAATTTTTCGAAGGGAGGGGCCCTTTTTTTTGGGGGGAAAAACCGTGTGTGTGGGCCCCCAAATTTTGTGTAGCTGCCTGTGTGTGTTGACAACATTGTTGTGATTCAGATTAAATGCCTTTGTCTTGAGCGCATTTTATCTAACCCAGATTCATAAAATATGCTTCGCTGTTTGTTCGCTCACATGTCGAAACTGAGGCAGCCAGAGATTACACCGGAATTTCGGAGATTTTAGATTAGGAAATCTCAGCCTAATATGCAGAACGTATGCAAACACTAAGGGATTCACCTTCTTTAAGAATGTAACTGGCAAATTGTATTTTGGGAATGATTCTAATGTAATTTACATATAAAATGTTAGTTCAAGTGAAGTTAGTTCTTAGTTCTTTTGAAGATTTCCCTAAGTATCTTGAAATGATTTTAAGTTAAAATTGAAGTACATGTAATAAAGGGAATAATCCAAGCGATATATAAGAACTCCAATCTACTTTTGAAATTACATCTTCAATATTTTGAAAGTATTTAAAAAATGTTTTTTGGTACAAAGAAGTATAAAATATTTGCCCTAATTGACCCTTACATTTTTGCATGTCTAAAGGTCTTCTTTGTCATAAGTCTATAATACATTTTTTAAAAGCTCAACAAAATGTTATCTTTTAAATTCTGAATGTATTGACATTTTTGGGCGCAGTTCAGCCAAACAGTTTTTGTTGCTGTGTACTCACGTGTTTCTCCGGTTTCAAGAGGACTCCGTTCTGCTGCTGCTGTTGCTGCTGTAGTTGATGCTCCATGATGGATGAGCCCTTGCCGTAGCGACTCTGGATGGCCGCGGAGGCGGCTGCCGAGAGGAGCATGGGCGCCGTCCTGGAGGTGGGCGAACTGCAGGCCGAACCGGAACCGGATCCTTCGGCCAGGGCTGCCAGATGCGGGGGCAGCTTATCGCCGGCCATCAGGCTGTCCAGGTCGCGTAGAAACTTGCAGGCCCAAAGGTTCACATCGTCCGCCTGGACAGGTGGAGGGGGCAAGGATTTCGTCGGGGTCTTGGTGGGACTGAGGGGCGGCGGGGGCAGGGCCCTTAGTTTAGTTGTCACTGGTTTGCCCGGTGTTGCTGTTGTTGCTGTTGTTGCTGTTGTTGCTGTTGTTGCCGTGGTGCTGCTGCTGTCAAAGCCGCTATCTGATCCTGTGGAACGAGACAATTCATCAGGCTGCTGGACTCCTGCCTCCGAAAGCCGCTCCTCCAGTTGCTCGCGGAGCTGCTGCTCCAAACGCTGGACTTTGCGCAGCTCGAAGACCTCGTTGATTTCCCGCTGCAATTAGAATGGCAGTTGTTAGTGGGGTACACTCGGAGAAATAGTAGGTATCATTAATAAATATTAATGGAATATCAATTAAAACCCTCTTTTAATATTTGTTTTCTATAGATATGCTTATTCTTAACAAGCCCCAATTAAATAATGATTTTACATAAACTACAAACTATAAATACTATACTGAAAAAAATCAGACTTGGTTAGAGTAACTTAAGTAACTTATGATTGAATGATCGCTTTCAACAAATCAACTTTACAGTTGTAGGTCAATTGAATATTTGCATTTACACATAAAACTCTTGAACGCATAAGTTCTTAGTGTTTTTTTCCTGCATAGAAGACCCATAAACTCCGCACTGCGGTGGAGATTAGGTTTTGATTAGCGCTCTAATTGCGCACATATATCAAGGCAATGGTCTATTAATCGCGCCCAGAGCGCCACATCCCCATCCCCATCCACATTCACATCCGCCAAGAGCCTCTTCTAATGGCTCCCGACTATGATGTATGTTTGCTTAATTTGCCCAGCAAACAGGGACAAAAAGAAAGCCCAGGACACGACCAAGACAACCCGGAGAGACATGGGCACAATCAAAGACAAATAAATTAGAACACGACCGCGGAGGCAGAAAGGTTTCCCATTTCCACACTCGGATCGGAACAGAAAACTGCAGCCACGAACTCCAAGCGAAACACGACTCGCCGCAGCAACAACGAATGCAAATAAATTGAAATGAAGCAATTTGTTAGCCAGATTAAACACAACACAACTAAACTAAAAAACTAAAAAAAAAAAAACGAGGAGAAAGAAACCAAAAACACGGGAAGAGAACCCAGAGAAGATCAGAGACAGATGGAGCCCACAGGGCTAACAAAGTCAGCGAATTACTTAATTAAAAATCGTGGCCCGAGATCCAGAACTGGTCTTCTGGACCAGTAGACCCTTCTGCCCACCGAAACCCTTTCCGATTCCCCAGTGACATTAATAACGTGCAGTGCTCATTACTCAGCAATTGTGTTTGCTTGCGGGTCCCTTTTTTGTTTTCTGTGGCGCTGCTGCTTTTGCCAGAAGGGCAGCTCGCTCAGACAAATGCGATCGAACATTAGCAGGCAATAAATTCTCAGAGGTAGTCTATTGCTGCCGGGGCTTGAAAGAAAGCCGCGAAGAACCCTACGATTTTATCAGGTAGTGTGAGAAGTTGGCTGGCTAATTTGTGAGGGCGGCTGCTCGGGTCACAGGTTGGGCAAACAATGCCGCACTCCAATCGAGTTTTTGGCCCACTGATTTGCTGATTTCAAACACAACTTATGACGTATGAGAGTTTGCTTTGCGGCCATCTCAAGTGGGCCGCTTATTTCCCAGTTCGGCGTCATACAATGCAATTTCTTTTTATTAATTTCATGCTACGACGCGCTGGACAAACAATTGGCATTGCTTTGGAATCAAAGAGACACTGAGAAAAATGTTGCTTTGGCAATGTTGAGTTGGGAATACCAAATAACACCCACTCAAAATATCAGTATTTAATTAAAATGTTTTTGTATTTCCCATAAAGCCGGCTTCTTAAAAAGAGTTCTCATTAATGAAGAACTAATCTTATCAGATTTATTTTGAATGGTCTTAAAAATCCCAATTTATTAATTGGTAGCTTTATAAAAGCCTTGTTTTGGATCGTGATTCTTTAAGCGTTGTCCCAGTTAGATAAAATGGCTCTGAGTAAATAAAACTTATAATGTTGTGATCATGGGTAGATGGGAAATCAGTTGTTTTAAGATGGATTTTTTTAACAAAATGTTAACTCTGGATTCTCTTAAGAATTCTTTCTTATTTTTACTTTGTGATGTCCTTCACCTGTCGCATTTTTTCTGAGTGTTCTCATATGTGACCAAGGGTCTTTCGACCGCGACCAGCAGGCGTATTCCCAAAACTCCGCGGGCCGCTCCTTGCTGGAATGGCCGCATCTCGTGCTATAAAAAGCTGGACCGCTGGCCAGAAACTTTCAGTTTCAGTCTCTCCGTTTTTCTAAGAGCCAAAACGCAGCGGATGCCGCTGGCAGGCTGGCTGACTGGCTTCTTCAAAGTGGCCGACGAGGCAGGAGCGAAATAAAAATTGGAACAACTCCCCGCGACTGGAGTTTCTGAGTCGAAGTTGGGGATCCACGGAGTCGAGAAACTGAGGAACTGAGACACCGAGGAACCGCAGACAGCATGAGGCTCACGTTGGCCTGGCTCAGCGTCTGCCTGGCGATTTATTGCGGCGGTGGCCATGGCCATGGCAATGTGGTCCTATCTTTGCCACCATCGCTTATCGCTACGGCCACGAAGGCGGCCTTGAGTCACCAACAACAACAGCTACAACAACAACGGCAGCAGCAGAAAAAGGATGCACGCGTCCTGTTTGACAGCCCCAGCGATGCACTGCGCGATATGCTGCACACCGGTGCCATGAATTCAGGAAAATTCAGCCTGCCCAATGCCGATGTGGCTGTGGATGTGGAGCAGCAACCGCAGACGTCTGAGGATTTTAATCGAAACGCAGATGATTTAGGGGCCAGGCAATCAGTGCCGCAGGAAATGGCAGCGGGAATGGGAATGGCACTGGGACTGGGACTGGGTCCCAACTATCGGGCCACGCCCCCTCACCGGTATTGGGGCAATCGTTGCCAGGGTCGATCTGGAGCATCGGCGAAGTGTCCGCAGGAGTACTATCGCACCATGCTGGCGGCCAGGTAAGAGACCCATTCAGGATGTGGGTGGCAAACTGGGGGCCGCAGATCGGCCAGCAGGTTCAAGGCTGCACAGAAGGAAAGTCGAGAAAGTTTCGCTCCTCGTTTCCGCTTCACATGTAAACCAATTTGGCAGCTAAAGTAATCGTTAACCCTCTAAGCAACTGAGTCATTCATTTCGACCGGAAAAACGTATCTTGCTTAAAAAATTAGGGTATTGTTGCTTTATAACAAATTTAAGGAAAGAAAAATTTGCGTATTTTTAAAATTTCAATTTCATTTTCTTCAATACTACTCAGTCAAATTATATTTTGTAATTTAGGTAGTTAAATTACATTTGCAAGAATTGATTTAAAAGGCATTTGATTTTTAAAAAAGATTTAAAGTTTGGTACTCAGTTTTAACCATCAAGTTTAATTTTAAAATTCTTTTTCCTAGACAATTTTTGAACCCTATTTCTCACTCATATCCGCATTCTACCTTAATATAAACTTATTTTAAAGAAACCCAAGCGTTCGTTATACAGAGGGTTAATGCTAACCCTTCTCAGGGCGCCAGGGTCTGCCAAAAAAAAGAAGGTTAACCCACAAGAGCGGCAACAAATCGTCGACAATTTGGCTGTCGACTGGGAACACGCAAAACCAATTAATGGGCGTGAAAAAATCAGTACCAACGATTGCAGTTTTGTTTCAAGTCAGAGCCAGGAGACCGCCGCGCCGTATGTTGATTTATTTTATAAAATAACAACTGTCAGCAAATTCATTGCCCCACAACGAAATCGAAACGAAAACTGCATTACGAGTTTCACTTTTCATTTCGGCGAGTGGGAAATAATTTTTACACTCTGCTTTTGTTTTATTTAAAGCATTTCTTTCTTCCGCTGCGCCTTGTAATTTGCAAGGTATATTATCTTGTGTTGAAAAATTATTGGGCGCTACTATTAAAATCGAATTAATCATCTCCGGCTGGGACTTTATCATTATTATTATTTTCTGTTCGCATATGTTTGCCTTTGTTGATTTGTTAAATGTTTGATTAATTGGCTACGACGGCCCGCATAACTTTCGATTGTTGCTGTTCGCCTAATTTGTAATTTTACACAGTAATTTCTGGGGAATTGCCTCAAATTGACTTTTGATTGAATTGGATCAGCCCTGACAGCCTTTGGATAAGCGAAGAGTTTAGGCCTTTCTGGGTCATATGTTTGAGTGGGAACAAGAAGTTCATCAATTGTGTGTCGTCTGTTATTTTCCTCAAAAAGAGAAACTTCGGCCAAGAAGTGTAATTGAAACCCATGGCCGCAACCCACGCTCAAGTCCAAAAAAAAAAAGAAAAATGAGAAAATGTGCTGCTCCTTAAAGCGAACAAATGATGTGGCATTAATCACACTATAGAAATTGTATACCTTTTTTCCCTCATCAGGAACAAAGAGGCTCTGGCTCGCCTCCACTTGCAGCTCAGTTCGATGCAGGATTCTGACTCCGAGGTTAACTCCTCCGATTCCGGGGAGGAGGTGGCCGACGAGGATCAGAGCAACAATGAGGTCTTTATGCTACTCACCGGCGAACAGGATCTCATTAAGTTCCTGCACTGGGCCATGCAGCTTCTGTATCCGATTCAGAGTAATATGGGCAATCTGAGTGATGGTGCCGCTGAGAATTACTACCCCGGAATGTTCCTCTGGAAGAAGCTGAATTTGTCGGGTCATTTGGAACCCCCACTCATTGTCGATGAACCTCAATACGTTTTGGTGAGAAGAGAAAAGCTCTTCGATGGCTATCATTTGGGAGGTGAGTGTGTTGGTTTTTTATCATATCTTAAAATTTGATTTATGTTTCAGGAAAAGTGTTTTGTAATACTTCCTTTTTTAAGCCTTATATTTATAAAATTTCATGGAGATCGATCTTGGAAACCTAGAGCACGTCAAAATTCAAATTCAAATTTAAATCAAATAAATGACTGGAAACCCATATTCCTCAAAATAGGCCTAAGCTTTGGAAAATTCATTTCAAATAATCAGGAAAGTTGTGAAGTAACCTCTTAAATAATATAAAGTAACTTGTACTTCCTACACAGTAAAAAATGTACTCCGAACAACCTACGATAATCTAGACATAAGAACGCAGTATCCATTGTTTTGTTAATATATTTTTGTGAAATTTTTCCAGAAGAGATGAGCAAGGAGAGTGACCCGTTTATACCGCCTCGAGGTCGCAAGCACAACTCGCCGGACCTGGACGCCCTGATGAACCGGTACGAGCCCTTCGTGCCGAATCGCGGCAAGCGCGACAAGGTCAAGGATCTGTTCAAGTATGACGACCTGTTCTTTCCGCACCGCGGCAAAAAGCATCGCAACCTCTTCCAAGTGGACGATCCCTTCTTCGCCACCCGGGGCAAGAAGCTGCAGCTCCGGGATCTTTACAACGCCGACGATCCATTCGTTCCGAATCGCGGCAAGCGGCACCTGACAGCCAGCGGCGGGAAAACCGGGGAGAGGGCGGCCAAGACGGGAAAATGGCCAGATGACAGCGACAACAACTGGCCGCAAAGAATGTCAACGCATAAAATTAATGGTTACGATCAATCAGTCAGGCCATCACTGTCATTGGAGGATGCTGCGTTTGCTTCTTGGCGACTGCCCGCTAATAGATTGCACTCGACAAGATCAATGTCAGCCGATCAGCAGTTGCAGCAATTGCTGTTGCCCCATGTCCGCTTCATTGGCAATCCGAACATGCGCCAGCAGCAGGTGAAAACATCATCCTGGCCGGCAGAAGAACGCCACCGGAGATCCATCCTGCCCCTGGGCGCCCAAAACGATGCCCACGAGACACAATTAACGCAATCGCACCCGGCTAATCCCCATTTGGACACTGATTCCGACCATTTGAACATTTAAATGCGGCGAGCGATTTTCGGTTTTGGTTTCGATTTCGGTTTTTTCTGATTTTCAGTGTTCGGCTTGGGGCACCTTTTTTCCTCGACTCTTGTAGACAGAACTATATGGCACACAATAAAGTACAGCATGCAATTGATTTTGAGAGAAATCGAATCGAATTGTAGCGAATTGAAGGTTGCTTTGGTCAGATGCCCTTGGGGACGCCTTTCAAGATCTGCACTGGCAGAAAATGTTGGGTTCACTAAGAAGGGAATTTCAATTATTGATAACAGAATTATTATTGGGTTTTTATATTGCATTGATTAGGTTAGCAAATGAATATGAATTGCGATTCTTTATCTTATCTTCAATCTATATTTGGTTATAACAAAGAACCAAAGAAAAGAATGATTGATAGAAATTTGTTCCAATAGAATAACACATGAAATGTTGTATTGTTCATTGAATTTATAGCGCATTTTAGGGAAAGCTTCTGTGGAGTATTCCCCAACTCATGTGACATATATTTTTCGCGGTGTGTTCTGCGAAGGTCTCGCCTCGTTGCCCTTGGTGATGTTGTTGCAGTGCGGGTATTGCCTATTTTAATTGTATTCATTGGTTAATTTATCGCTAAATGCAATCAGCATTGTGCCGGGCTGCGAGTCTAGACTCCGTTGGAGCCGCAGAAAGCCAGCTGCAGACAGGCGGGCGTGGCACGCAGTTGATGCCACGGTGGCGATATGCAGGCAGATATTGTAGAACAACGGCAACAGCTGCTGTTCGTTTGCCTGCAAAGGTCAAAATAACAAGGGCCATGTAATCCCCAAAACGCACATCAATCACGCGAGTTTAGCTTATTAGCCAAGCGCTGAACCTTAAAAAAAAGGGAGATACAGTGATTTTTTAAGCCACTGTGAACTGAAATTTTCCACTTCAACCAATTTCTGACATTGACATTGACCACATCGACATCAACGTCAAAATATTTTGGTGAGCCAGCGGACCAGCTCGCTTTGTTTTTGAACAAATGACCATTGAAGGTCATAGCCAGATCCAAAAGCGGGCAACAACAAATTGGTTAAATAATACCCATATGTATGCTCTTCCATCTCCATCTCGTTTTGGCCTTTTTTTCATTTTTTTTTTTTTTTCTGGTAGCCTGACGTCCGAACGATCGGTCCAAAATCCCCTGAAGATCATTATAATTTCAATGGCACTTCATATGGAGTGTGTATATGCATATATATGTATGTACCTATGTTTGGTTAGAAGAATGCAAGCAGTCCATAAATACTATATACATTTTCTTTCCGTTCAACTCTCGGCTGGGCAATGACACTTGAAGTGGTCAATTGTCGGCTGGCTCACGTGCAGCTTTTTAGAGCCAAAGGTAGAGGTACACAGTTTGAGAGTTTGAGTTAGGTAAGCTTAGTGCTAAACAGCTGTGACAGCTTCAGAAGAAATCCCACAGAAGCACTCGCATACCATTCTTACACAACTCACAACAAAAACCTTTAAATACTACATTAATACACAAGTCGTATTGGCTAGCAATTATGTGTAGGTAGCTTTAATGTCAGTAGAAGCTTAGTTATTTTTAATTTGTAAATATTTAAGTAAATTTGTATAGTTTTAAATATGGTTTTGTAATCATTTACCCTAGCAGAGTGTGGAACTGTTCTTATACTGTATACAAAATGTGAAGTAATTTATAGTTTTAGGGACTTAGATGTCCCTTAGAGTGGATAAACTATCAAATAACCGATGATATTTGTAATGGCACCACAAAAGTCTTCTAAGCGAGACGCGTCTGGATCGAGGATTGAACAAATTAAATTCCATTGGCTTTGAAAACTGCAAAGCCCGAGGAGCAGGCTACTTTGTGTCACTTTTGGCAAGCGGCTAGAGAAAAAGAAAGTCGGGGCTCAGAAGAGCACTCGCACAAAACGCGATTCCCAGTGGTGAGCTTCGATTCGGCATCAGCAAATTGGCTCAATTTCTGTGGCCAAGGCCTTTTGGTTGGCTGCTGATTTGCTTGTCGGAAAATATCAACGCATTGTCAGCGAGCCGAACTTGACAACTGGCAACATGCAATGCTGCAACATTGGCAAGCTGCAACACTGCAACACTGCAACATTGCGACTCTGCAACTGCAATTGTAACGCGATCAGCATGAGTAGCTGGCAGCCTGTGACAGCGGCTTAATTGCTGTCTGCAATTATGATTGCTGCCGGTGGTGAAATTGTAGAAGTCTTCGCTTCACTTTCGTTTCGCAGCTCCAACTTCTCAGCTTCCCCCACAGTGTTTATTTTGTTTTTGTCTATCTATCTAACGATTTCTGACTCCATTTGGCATCATCGGGCCTGTGGGATTTTGCTTTGTTTTGCCAGAGCAACTCCTGGTTGACAAAAATAGTAACGTGCAGGCAGGCGCTGCCTTTTATTGCCATTTGTTTTGGCCCGTTCGCGAGTTTGACGTTGACAAAAAAACGTCATTTGCAAATTGGGCAAAGACAACTTTCTCTGGAGGCAGCTGCTTCGTCGCATTTGCAGTCGCATTCGCCAAGTGACAGAGCCATTGCATAAAGCCATATAGATAAACCAAAGGCAAGTCGTCGCCCACATTCATTAACAGCATTCGCATAATTGGCTGAAGCAGATACTTTTTCTGGGTTCATCGAACCACACCGCAGTCAGCCAGACCCAAAAAATTAAAAAAAAACTATAGTTAAAAAACAATCCCTGGGCGCAGCAGTCTTACGTCTCAATTTCCCATCGCCACTTTGTCAATATCTATAATTAAAATCATTTGAGAACACACGCAAACCGTTCGCCTGATTTATCAGATTTTCGAATGGCAGAAAGGCAATATTTATACACGTTGTCATGCTGAAAGCTTGATTGATGCATTAAGCTTACTTAGCCATAGTCGATGTTGACGAGCGCCAATTAATGGCTGCTTAAACGGGAAAACTCTGTCTCAGCCAGCTAGTCAGTCAGCCAGCCAGCTTGTCCATGTAAAATTATGGAAAATCTGCGCAAAAGCCAGCGCTAATTGATGCAGGAAGCGCGACGGAAAAACGAGTTGCCATCGCCTGTCATATGGATTCGCTTCGTTTCGTTTCGGTGCGTCTTAAATGGGTCAGGCGGTGATTACCGCCTCCACTAACGCATTTCATAACTACACTTGGAAAGTAGTCATCAACCTCATAACTTTGTTATTTATCAAACCAAGTTGAATTTAAGAAGATAATTGGGCAATACATAATCTATATCTAATATTGAACATATTAAAATAAGCTGCTAAAATAAAAATTTAAAATATTTAAAGACTTTATAAATTGCTGAAGTCTTACTTTTTTCTCCAATCCCATTTTTAAACCAGCTTATTTTAAGTTTCAGCCTATACTGTTGGTAAAAATGTAATATTGTTTATATGGAACATATACAAATTTTTAAGTTAAGTTTTTGAGTTATTGGCTTTTAAATGATCATTACTTTTTCAATGAGTTTTTGAACTATTACCCATAGTTATTTCCAATTTCTGGTCAACATTTATTTTTGCCTCAGTGTATTCAAATTAAGCCTAAGGCGACGCCAACAACAAGCGTCTTAGCAGTCTTAGCGTGTAACGGCAATTTCCAGCCAAAACGCTGCACTATTTGTCATAATAAATGTGCACAAAGGAGAGGAGGCTGCCCCTACACCCATTTCCCTCCCCTTTGCCCCGGAAAGAAAGCGTTTTGGCCTGCGTGGGCAGCGCTGTGACACATTTTGTCATCATTAGGCACAGTTGCCGGCTAATAATTTCAATTTAGCCAAAAAATTAGTTGTATTTGGTGGTGGCAAAGAGGGGAAAATGTGTAAAAAGGCGTTAATAACCGCGGTGTAAGGCCATAAGCTGACAGCCCACGCCAGGCCAAGAAAAAAAGAAGAAAAAAACTAAGCCAAACTTGGTTTAGTTTAGTTTGGTTGACTGCTCCAAAGAAATGGGGGCCGATGGGGGCGTGGCCGGCACTCGATGGGTGTTGAGGTGATGACACTGATTATAAAATGCAGCATATGGCGCATGGCGTGCTGCATTTACTGCCATAAAGCCATCCCAGTTGATCAGCGGCGATAAAAGCCGCCTAGCTCTGATTTGGTGCGGCTAAAAACGCAACTAAGTCGCCGGCGTTTTGTGTGCGATTTGTGGGTGCTTCATTTTGGCAGAAACGGCTGAAAAGCACTTTAGTTATGAAGTTTATTTTATCCAGAGCCTAGCACATGCATTGGAGAAATTTTCTTTTGGCCTGCATTTATGGTGCAGTTATCGCGAGAACCCTAATGGCACGAATAAATGTCTAATAAAATACCGGTAACGCTTTCTCTAAAATTTGCACTACTAAAAATGCTATAAACTTTAAGAGCTCCAGTTGATAGAGATATAAAAAATGGTAGCTTATGTGAGATGAAAACGAGCTAACTATGTAAAACTAATTAAGGTTTTAAAGATAAATGGTAGATACATTTTATAGAGATAAGGCCTTCCTTGTATTTTTCAGGTTCTAACCATTGCCTTTCAAGCCTTCAAAATGCAGACTTGAATTTAATATAAATAATCCAACTTTGTGCACACGTTTTTCAGACCACTGACCACAAGAACCCCATAAACGCAAATCACAAACAGCGCGTGCGTGCGGTTGTGCTTCCGCCATGAGCGGCAAATAAACATAATAATAACAACAAAATCTTGCAGCTATGGGGGAAAATTCATGCGAAACAGTTATAAAAAAAGACAAAACGAAGGAAAGGCGATGAAAAAAAAATAAAAAAAGAAAACTAAAGCCTCGGCCGTTGACGTTGCCGTCATCGTTGATGTGTATGTGTAATATTGCGCTTTCCGGTACAGAAACATAAAATTTTATGTACACGACCGCTGACGACAGGCCAAACGACAGCCAAAGCGGCAACAGAAAGTCGGGCGTGCAACGCGGCGTATGCGTTACATATTACGGCTGTGTGTGAGTTCGCCTTAACACATTTTTCTGTCACGCAAAATAATCATTTGCAAAATCACGCCGTGTTGACAGCAGAAGAGGGGCGGTGGATGAAAGACTGGCACTAGGCCGGGTCCCAGGCAATTGTAATAGTACACAGAGAAAATAAAATATATATAACGATAGAAATAGAATGCAGCATCAAATTATACTAAATTTAGGGCCCAGAAACAGACTGCAATGGAAATAATGATTTGTTAATTTTGACGTTTAATAATAATGGGTATGAATTCTGTAAAACAATTAAAAAGAACTGTTGAAGATCTTTAAGGGGCTAAAATATGATTCTATTTGCATTTTCTTGTCACCCCATCTCATATATCAATCATTAATGGTTCCCATATGTACAATAGATAAATACATGTTTTTCACTGTGCATTTATGTGAGCGTTTGTTTGACGGGGACTGAAATTGTCGGTTATTATCATGTGAAAATGCCTGAAATTGAATAATGTCATTCAGCAGACTTAGACAAGTGGAGTAGGGGCAGTGCCACATCGCTCCCCTCACTCTATATACCCAAAGTATCCTCCATCTAATGCGAATATTGCGCAACTTGGGAACGGAAAGGCTCTGCAGCACATGCTGTCAAACACTCACCTTGACACGCTCCACATATTCCTGCAATGGTCCGTACGGATCATCGCCTTCGACGTCCAGTAAATCGAGGTTGTGAGCCAGGTCCAGATTGTCCAGTGCGGCCAATTCGGACTCGGCCTTATCGACAAATTGCAGCTTATGATGATGGTGATGCCCCTGAACGGGCGCCGCCTGGCTCAAGAATTTCTTATCAGCTGTCATGGTGTTGTTGCCAGCTGCTCCTGTTGCTGTTGCTCCCGTTGCTCCTGTTGCCGCTGCAACAGCAACAATGCTTCCGTATTGGCGAGTGCGCGGCATGGTTGCACAACCGGTGCTAAAAACGCTCGGAGCGGTGGCAGATGAAGTTGGAGCTGGCCGACCATCAACGTCTCCGCTGGCCGGCACATCACTTAATCCCGATTTGTAGCGCGTCGTGTCAGCGGCGATTGCTGACGTGCAGTCCGATGTTGCTGCTGCTGCTGTGGATGCTGTAGATGTTGCTCCTGCAACTCCTCCTGTTGCTGCCGGCACAGTCGCCTGCCCGTTGATAAGCGTTTGATGTTGCTGCTGCTGTTGGCTGCTAATTGCACTTTTCACATCGCCTGTCATGTTGTTTTGATTTGTATTGCTATTGCACTGCATTTTAGTTAACTTCTTGACTTTGTCATGATGCCGCGTCGCCTGCTGTTGCTCTGTAAGTGAAATAAAAAAAAAATGATTATAAGCTTGGCTAATCTCGGCAATATTTCTGCACATGAGGCTGGCGCACCCTGAACAATTTCCCAATGAAAAGGAAAAACTCCCAGCCCAGTCGACCAACCACATGTGGCTTAAGCTGTATGCGCGCAAATTTCTGCGCTAATCGCCACGAATTGTCCGCCAAATGTGTGCCATTTAAATTGTCATAAATTTTGCAATATGCCCCGCACATGTGTGGACTTAACTCCTTTTTATTTGGCATATGTGTGCATGCGCGAACGTTTTAATTAATTTCGTACGGCCGCAAAAAAATTGCCAGCAATTATTTACATACACGAATTTATTGCTCACACCACACTTAACCATTTCCCGAGTGGTTCGCATTATTTATATTCAGTGGGGTTCTATTGTGGAGCTGGAGAGTCGGGGCCCAAGGAATATGTGGCCTTTGAATTTATGTCGCTGTTGATTCGGAAAATGGGTCATCGAAATCAGCTTGATATTTGTACTTTATATGGCCAACCATGACTAATTTTTGGTTTATTTTGAAATGTCAAAGTAGTAGGCAAACATTTACTTTATTACTGAGTTGTGTTGCAATCTAAAAAAAAAATGTTACCATTTGAAAAGGTATTCTTTTCTTTAAATATAAATCTAAAATGGAATTATCATTTACCAAAAATCTATTCTCAGTTCGTTTTCTAAACTCTCTAACCCACACAAATGTTAATAAATTCCCAGTAAATCGAATTGAAATTCGCATAGGGGCTAAGGTTATGTGAACTTTTTGTCAAACGGAAGAACCCCGCCAACCGGCCGGCATCTGTCTATATCTATTTATGTATATAGGTATGTCGTTTTATTTATTCCTGTTCGCTGGTGGGTAAGTGAAACGGTTAAAAAGCGCTCGTGGTTGTTGCTGTTGATTTTATGGGTTTGATTTGATTTTTGTTTTTATTGCGCATGCGTGCGTTCGATTAAGTTTTTTGATTAAAATGTCGCCGCCACCGTCGCGAGTCGCGACTTGGCGACAGCCTTACAGCCGTACAGCAATCCGGCAATACCAAAAAGTCAACAGCAGGGGCTTATTTCTTTGACTGACTCCACTTCTGCTGGTCAGAGAGCTTGGCATTTAAAAATTCTGAATCGCATGCGTTACACAACGGCCCGTGGCGAGCTCGTAAATCAGCGGCTGCAAACGAGAGTCAGTCAGACAGCAGGGACAGTTGGCCACATTTTATGGGGGTCTCTCTGCCAATTGATCGTTTTGGGCCGATTGGCAGGCCGCCAGTTCAGGCCGAAGTCAACAGCGAAAACCAGGCCCACACTCGACTGCACTTTTCTTCTCCTTTTATTTATTTATTTTTTTGTTTTTTTTTTCTGTTTTCTGCATTTCAATTGTGCAACGCTAACGGTACTCCTGGCCCATAAGGACGGGCCTTTACCGCCGTGTGGGTAACGCGTCGCGAAATCATGGGAGGTCTTCCCCCAATTTCGATTGCCATTTCCAGTCACCACCCATGTGAATGCGCTTTTATGCAGAGAAATACCTAATATCCACTTTAGCTGGCTACCTAATGTTCTTGTTTTAATTAAAAGGAAACTAGACTATATACATTTCACAAATCCTCATATCTTCCTAATACAATAACTTAGAAATATGACTACTTAATTAAACAGGGGTTTGCTCCTGCTTATTCGGGATTTCCCAATTGGATTTGGCTTGAATATCCCTTTGGCACAGCATAGATAGAAAACGAAATGGTAATATTTGTAAAGCTCACTGAGTCTAAAATAATCATCTGATTATACATAATCTACACAATAAATCAAATAAAGAATTAATTTAGCTAGCAACAACGTACTTAAATCTTATGTCACTTCCCTTGCAATTAGCAATTTGAAATTCTTATTTTTAGCTTTTATTTGGGTTTCTAATTAGCGAGCTAAAAAGGGGATATGTACACATACCGGTCAGAAATAAAATTCGCAACCATTGTTCTATTTGATGGTTGACCATAAATTTCTTTATTTTTTGGGGAACTCGTACCTGTGTACTCGTTCGCTTTTTGTGGCTCTGCAAACACGAACAAAGAACGCGAAAACAAAACATTTGTACGCATTTAGCTTATTTGCTTATTTACTCGAAATAAAATTGTTTGCTGGGGTGTGTCCGCTAAATGGCCACCGTCCATTCATTGATGGGCGTGTGTGTATTTTTATTTTATTTTGTGGCTGCTGATTGATTCGCTGGCTGAGGTCACTTCAACGTGATTAATTGCCGATTGCCAAAAGGGGGAAACGGAGGCTTGCGGAGGTGTCACTCTGTGCCTAATTGAAAACAATGCAAAAGTACATGCCAGATGCTTGTGAAACACACTCATGTAAAGTCATGGGCTGGTCAATATTTGCCTGCAGTCGATGCAGTTGTTTCTTCCCCCTGCCCAGAGACCTACCTCAATGCATTTCATCTGGACTTGCGCCGACTGGCGCAGAATGAGTAAATAAATAAAATGAAATAAGCACGGCAGAAGCTGTCAGCCCGGCAAAAATGCACCAGCGAGCACTCGGACACTTGGACACGCGATTAGCGGGCGATGAGCAAGAAGCGAGCGGGCCCAGATGCGAAAAGCTCCGAGTTGACGTGTGTCGGGTTGGGACAACGTCTTCGTCATGCCGATCAGCACAGATCACAGGCGCCCTAAGACGCCGCCAGTCTGCGGATTATTCTCTGGCTCCAATTTGATGCCCTTTCTAAGGTATCTTCACCATTATAAATTTGATATTGTTTAAAACTTTACAGAAATTAAATTGGTACCAAACTCTGAATTCTATATCGGCACATGTTCCGTTAAGCTGAAGTCTCATAAGACAAGTCTCATTTTTATTAACACCATGTTGACTACCTTACAATCATCTTAATTTATTTCTCTTATAAATTAAGGAACTGTCTTTGAAGTAATAAATGTTGGGATTTGTGCCATAAAATATCATTCGTTTTGGGTAATTTTCTTAAATGTGTGATTTGAAAACATTTCGGTAGCTTTGACACTATAGTAAATTTGAACATTAAAACAGTTAAATAATAGCTTAACAATGATTATTCGTAATAGACAAAAGCACAATGGCTTTAAACTGTTTCTTTCTATATACATTTGTGGGCCTTATAGATATTTATTGTATTTACTTGCTTTACTATATTATAACCATATTAAAACTGAAGTAAGTAAACAAATAAACTTGTTAAAAGAATATTTTTACACTGCCAGATTTCTGCTTATGACACCTCTATAAAATAAAGTTAAAGCCTGAGGATCATCAAAAAAGGGTATATATTTTTCGGTTCCTAACCTTTCCAAGTCTGTCGACTAAGGGCAGGGCTTGGAGTTGGGAGCCTGGGGCTTGGGTCTCTGGGAACGACTTGCTCTGGCGGCTTTCAAGCCTCATTTGCCTATCAAAATGATATAATACGCACTCATGACGTCGATTGCCGTATGTACGTGTTTCCTGTTGCGCCTTTGACGCTGTCGTTGCAGTTTCAGTTTATTTTCTCCTTTTTTTTGGTTTTTGTGTGCAAAACTGCAGTCGATGGGGCGTGGCTGGAATCAAATGGAGTGCACTTTACCGCCGGTGACAAAGCTGACCGGGGAGTGTTTTTCTTTCAGCGCTTTTTGGGCCGCCTGCAAGTGCGTTTTCGAGCTGCACCCAGCAGAGCAATATTCCGAGTTTTACGACTTTCCCAATTGCCATACCTATGCAGACGCATTTATAATTTAACATTTTTACTTTATTATTACTCACAATGGCTGTCTACTTTCTGGGGAAGTTTTTAATGCCGCCTTAAGTGGCATTTAATTGATTTGTAATAGAGTCGACCATTTATATTAAATGCCGGAGGTGTGTGCTATGTGAGTGTGTCATGTTAACGGAAATCCAAGGCTCCGCGTCATGCATAATTCATGCACGTTTTTCAGTCGGAACAATGTACAGAAAAAGTAACAAAAAAAGTTATGCACACGCCCTAAGCAGCTAAGGCAAAAGTTTCTACATATAAATTTCCCTTCATGTCAATAATTTTTTTATTTTCCTGTTTCCAATTCATCAGTTAACTAAAAAATGCCTTTAATTACATTTAATTGATTTCACTGAATTTGCCAGTAATTGCCCGTGCAAAAAATGATTCAGATGATTGAGATTCATTCTCTGAAATGTAATTCAATTTTCTGGCATTTAATTCTTATCGCTGGCATCGGCAAACACGTATATCTCGTGAGCATTCAAAAACAGGAAATGACGAGGATCTGAGCTGCTCGTTGACCTTCGTTGACTTTGCTGGCCTAAAGGGATCGATGAGGCAAAACGAAAAATGTAAAGATGCTACAGAAATCAAAATGAATATGCTTTAAAATGATATAAGTAAGGAACAAGTTTACATTTAATTAAAATTTAATTGGTATATACTTGTAATGCAATAATTTCTTGATAATTTAAACCAACAAAATTTACAACTTTCTTTACCATGTCTAAAAGTAAGTGGTATATTAATATTTAATGGCCTGTTTAAACTCTTTTTATGAACTCACAGCTGGGAAGTTTTCCTGCCCCAACCAGAATTCTGGTTCGAATCAATTAATAACAATAACTGCGGCTATTAACTAGCCTAATGAGTGTGAGCCTAGCCCAGTCCGATATTTCCCACAATGTGTATATGCAACATTTCCGCCCCGGCGACAATGCGACTTAGTTGCCAAAGCTGATTAAGCGGGCGAGCTGAAGAAACTTACCATTTCCTGCCGCAAAGGCGGCGATGCGCTCCCTAACCGAACGTCTGGGTTCGTCATGGGCTGCAATGCTGCTGCTGCTGTTGCTGTTGCTGGTGTTGCTGGTGTTGCTATTGCAGCTGTTCGGCAGCAGCACATGTGTTGCTGTTGGCGTTGCCGTTGAGTCATGGCTAGGACTTCGCTTCACCATTGTCGTTTTGATCACAGTCTTAAGGCGGCTGGGCGTGGTCGGACGAGCTGCAATGCGGGGCTTAGATGTTGCTGTTGCTGGTGTGTCTGGTGTTGCTGTTGCTAGTGTTGCCGCTGTCAATGTTGCTTTATCGCTGCACAGCACTTCTGTGGCAGCACCCACAAACTCTTCTGATGCTGCTGCTGCTGCTGTTGCTGTTGTTGCTGCTGGCAGCCCACACTCGCTAGTTGCTGTTGTTGCTGTTGCCGCCGTTGCCGTTTCTGTTGCTGTCGTAATTGTCATTTTATTCTGCGACGACTTCGGTGAATCAATTTTCGAGTTGCTATTGCTATTGCTGTTCGTTTGGGGCTCGGCGGTGTCGGGTAATTTACAATAATTACAGTGCGGCTTGTTGTTGTTGTCGTAGCTTAGTGTATTTTCCTTATTGCTATGTTGCTGTTGCTGTTGCTGCAGTTGTTGGTGTTGCTGTTGTTGCTGTTGCAAGCTATTGCTTAGTCTTTGGGTTGGTTGTCGTTGCTGCTGCTGCTGCTGTTGCTGCTGGTGTTGCTGTTGCTCATTGGCACTTTGCGGGCTCTTTGTGACAGCGCAAGTTTTAGTTGCTGCTGCTGCTAGTTTGTTGCTGTTGTTGCTGTTGCTGCTGTTGCCTTTGTTGTCCTGCCGCCATTGTTCGGCCAGATTTCGTTGATTCATTAATATCAGCGCCACATTTCCGTCGTCTCGTGGTCCAGCAGCGATATCATTGGCCTCATCATCTGCTTTATCGCCGCCACAGTCGTAGTTGCAATCGTCGTAATCGCTGTGGCAATCTTGGCGTCGCCGCGACACATCATCAATATAGCTGAAATCGCTATCGACGAATATATTTCTGGCATGCAGCGTGTTCACCGTCGACTTGTTATTGCTCTTCGTCTGCTTGAGATTGTAGCGCCTTCGCTGCGGGCAGCAGCAGAATTTCACGATGGATCGATGGAGTGCTGGCGGCGATGTTGGCGATAATGTCGGCCGATTCGGCGTCGCCGGCGTAGCAATGTCAGCCCATTTCTCGATCAATGCCAGCTCGCGAGCATTGGACATTGTCGTATAGCCATGCAGGGTGATTCTGGAAGGGAATTAGAAGGGTAGAAGCCATGTTAATTTATCAAATTGACATACCTAATAAAATTTAATTGTTTACTACATAACAACAGAGAATTGGAAGTATTGAAAAAATATTTGGGGGTTCTTTGTACTTTTTAAAGTGCAAAACCTACTTAATATTTTAAAGACTCTTTTTCATTATGTAATGGCAAATTAATTTAAAACCTCCTTTTAATTATCACAACAACTAGGGTAACTTTAGTTAAACTTTAAATATGTAAAGTGAGAAACGATGTTTTACCAAGAGTGAAATATATTTCTATATGCAAAATTTAAAAAATATGATGATATCACAAAATTGTATACAATACAATTTCAACAAGATTTCGAGTTCTTATGAAAGCAGTACATAAATAAACAATGCCTGCCAAATAAAGATGAATCGATTATTTTCACTAGAAATTTCTGCTTCTCCGTGACACACCTGTCTTTAATATAAACAATAAACGCTGCGATTCTGCAAGTGAATCCAAAAGGAAACCATAAATTAATTACGGACAAAAACAAAAATCAATTAACCACATTTCTCAACGCGTCTCAGCTTTTCACCAAAACGTTTCCTCATTCCTGCCTCGGAATGGAGTGGATTGGAGCTCCGTTGAAAGCCAATTCGCTGCGCACATCACAGCCGACTCTTGGCCAGCGACGCCATCTGTGCGTCATGGCAGCCACATCCACATCCACATCCACATCCATACCACATCCACATCCACATCCCCAGCCGAAAGCCAAAGCTATAGCCACAACGTGTTTTAATTGCCAGCCGCTTTTTGCGCAACACTTTCCACGGGCACCACTTCTAAGTGACCGCCAAAATGTTGAGCTGCTGTTTTGCCGGCAGAAAGCCGGCTGTCGATGCATGATTAACTGCCCGTGCGGACCAGCAAGCTGAGCAAACTGAGAAAACTGCAACCTGCAAGCTGCAAGCCGCAAACTGCATTTAATTGCATTGGCGATTTTTGGCCGCAGGGCACTCGACAGCAGGTAGCCGAAATCTTGCAGATCTCACAGATCCCAGAGTTCCCAAATGCCGTTTCCCGCCCACCGAAGTGCAGCTAGCCACTCGCTGATTAATTTGTTGTGGCAGCAAGCACACGGAAAAAAATTATAACCAAGGGAATTCCGACGAAAAAACTATGTTAGAACTCTGAAAAGGGTCAAGGGATTTTTCCATTTAGAAATCACCAATCTTTACTATTCTCTCGAGCTGAGAAATTTTTCATGTAAATTTAAATGCAATGAACGTGTTCTTTTTTTTATAGCCATGAATATCATCTCTTAACCAAATTTCTTTAGACAACCAATCTGAGTTTTTTTTGGTAGTTTATTAAATTAAACTTAAAGAGTTTGGAGAATTTAAAGGACTAAATGAATGGATTCTCTTTAGAGTCTGTGCAAATGGAAAAGTTATTGTTCTTTTGAGCTTAGACTTTTTTAATTTGTTTAAAAGAACTACATTTAAACTTAAACCCTCCTGTGTCTCGCTTTAAATATTTTAAAATTTAATTCTTTGATAAGTATTTTTTTTTCCGTGAGCCTGTGGAAAAGGAATTTGCATATGGGCTGGTTGCGAACTCGACTAACTGCTACCTTATTGGCCATCGGGGCTGACCTTTAGCGCTGGCCCCGGCTAAAAGCTTTTCGCCGTGAAAGTTTGCCTCGGAAATTCCTTTCCTTTCACCAAACTGCCGCAAAAGCGTTGCGTCTTTGAAGGGGGCGTGGCCACGCCTGTCAAACGTTTGACAAATTAATTTCAATTGTTTAATGCACACACACGCCGCTTATCTTTCACTTTATCTATTGTTGCGCCAGAGTGAAAATAAATTAACAATAAATAATTTTAATTATTTCATGAAGATGTCAAATTACACACGCCCTCGCCAAAAAGCCAAGGCTCGCCAATGGCTTTTTTTTTTGCTTTTTTTTGTTAGCCTGGGACCGCGACTCGGCTTGATCTTTGCCACTTACGGACGGCTTTTGTGGCGGCTTGTGGCACAGCTGCGCGCTCTTTGTATTTATGATTATTTTCCATTTTATTTTATTTATTAAATTTGTGTGTTTGCCAAAGCCCCGGGCCGCGGGCACTTTTCGGGCAGCTCTAATAGGATTTGTTGCCAAATCGTAGGAGCTGTCCGCTTTGTTGACGGCCGACGTCATACAATTAAGCCCCCAAACAGGTCAGGCCCCTAGTTAAATTTCTCCCACTGTTCGGCCCTATTTTGTGGGGGCATAAAAAAAGTAAAGATCATACATGCATTGTTATTGATACTTTTTGGCTTATTAAATGCATATTTTTATCGATATCAGTTTCTTAAAAGAACCATAATTTTCTCTGCGTGTTGGGCATCACATTTCTTCCATAAAAGCTACAAGAGAAGCTGCCAGCAGCTGGGCTACCAACAATTTGTCATACATTTTTGGGCCATAAAATCAGTGGGATGTGTTGCATTAGGAGTATATCTTAAGGCCTGAAGATCAGGTGCAGCGGTGCTGGGAAATACTCTTTATCTTTGGAGGAGATGTCCAAACTAGGGTGTTCCAGTTGTGACATTCGGATTAGACTGATAGCCCCTTGATCCCAATTTTTGTGAGCTCCCTTATCTCCAAGCTAATATACCCCTTCTGCAGTAATCCGGGGCATATAAAAAACGATCGTAAAACGACGAACGACATCGGAAAACATAAATTAAAATATGCCACAGCGATGACTCTGGCTGCTGCCCTTTTTTTTCCCATCTGCGTAATAAATCCGAATGCGGTATGGATATAAACCATGCTTTATTTGTGTTATTGTGATTTATGGGCTTGCTCTTGCTCATGCCGTGCTCTTTTGGGAGTACGAAATTAATATTGAAAAGCTACTAAATCCAGACTTATGCATAAATTAAAATTTAAGTAGGTAGGCTGTGCCCGACTATTTTTGTAATCCACAACAAAGAAAGAAAAACAATTCGAAACAAAACAGCCAACGTTTCTCGGCTTCTGAGGCGATTTTCTCGCATGTGTTTAACTCGTGATTTATGGGCATCAACAGCCAGTGAATAAACACAACATTTTTGCACATTTGCATTGCATTTCAATGCACATTTGACATCGTAAATATTTGCCAATGCATTAAGTTGCCTCGATATAAGCTACATATAAATAAATCCATATGCGCATGCGTGGCACGTAGCTGGTTCGATTGGGTTTTATTTATGAAGTCTAGACTCCTGATTTGGCGTACTTATAATTAGCATTCAGCCAAATCGAGCTAAATATAGTGCCGCATAACGGTAGCGCGAGTTCTATGAACCGGCGACTATATAGTCGTATAGTACTATACTGCCCGATGGCGACTGTCGGCTTAGCTAATTGAGGCTGGTCGAGGCTTAATGTCAGCCAGTCCGTCACTTTAGCAGGGGACTGCGATCCGGCGAGCTATCGATCAATCAGCCAATCAATAAGTCAATCATATGCACGGGCAATCGGCAGAGTGCATACAAATTGCCGCAATTGTCTATGGCATGGCTTCTTATAAGTGCATTTTACCCGTGGAGTGGGAAAGTTTCGCTTTTCGTCGCCCGATTGCTGTGAAATAACATATTCGATGGATTTAAATACGCATTCGTTTTGATGCCCAGATCGAAGGAAAGTTTTTCTTGGCCCAGGGCCAGGCAATCAAGGCGACATTAGCGCTCAGTCGATGGCTTTTCCAGCCGAAGATAGAGGTGCACTGCGCAAAAATATTTTCTTTATCCTTGAATAGGTTTGTCATAGAAATAAGTACTTGTCTTCAACTTTTCGTTGAAAAAATCGGTAATAAATCTTTGTGTAACAATTGTATATAATTTAAGAAGTACCCAATATAGACTTTATGGTAAAAAAATTGTTAACCAATATATAAATTTGTTGAAGATTTGAATGGTATGATATTTTTTCGTTGGAGGTTTCATATCAAATAGTATCAAAATGTTATTCCAAAATAAGGGGAGTAATATTATATTCATGTAAATATTTCTCCAAGTGCATCTGAAGCTAGAGCTAAAGCTAGTGCCAACCGGTCAGCCCGATTGCCTCGTACGATGTCTATTAATGTTGCCCATTAACCTTTTAACCCCCGATTGCCGGGCTGCGTGGTAATGACTCTCTTTCTCCGCTTTGTCTCTCGACTGTTTGCTCTCTTCACGCAAAAATGCGCAGAAGCTAAACGCTTTTTTCGGCATTTTTTTTTTGTGGCTTACCACTTGGCCAATTTATTATTGGCTGGTGCGCACTGCTTCCAGCCGAATTTGTTGCCAATTTGTTGCGCCACGAAGTTTGTCGTTTGTGTTCGCTTCGTCCAATTAATTTCCGCATTTCCCAGACAAACTTGGCAATTAATTTCTGCAGTTTGCATTTCTTCAACCTTGTTGGCCTGACCTTTTGGCTCAAGTGATTCACGCCAACGCCACACGTCAGCTTTGGCTTTGGCAACGGTTTCAGTTTTGGCCTAACGAGAATGGCCAGGCATCCTTTTTTTCCTTTTTCCCCTCTTATTTTTCGCTCTAAGTCGGCAATTAATCAAAGCGCCTTTGGCCACGACGGACAAATCCTTTGTATGCACTCGCATTCGCTCGTATATGGCTAACAACTGACATCGCAAATGGCTAAAATGACAGCGGGCCGTGGTCGCGTCATGAGTCAGCCGATGGGCAACGGTAACATTAACATGGCCAATGCGTTTGCATCTTGCCTCTTTTTGGGCGGCATCTCCCCCACTCTTAAACCCCCAAGCCCCACTAACTTGGCTGACTGACAGACTTCGCTGACAGGCGATGCCAAAGGCCACAAACGCAGACTGGAGTGAAGTGAAGGCTTTTTATTGAAATTAACTTGGTTGCCTATTTGTATATCCCGCTGAGTGCATAATAAGTTTGTCAAAAATTAAGCAAACAAGATGGGGAAAAGTTGTTAGGGTAGGTCCTTGCTGGCCAAAGTAAAGGAGCCTTCCCTTATTAAAAATACAACCACTAAGTATCAGAGTAAGTAAATTTTGAAATATACTATATAAAAAACACTTTAAAAACATAAAAGAAAAACATTACCTTTACAATTAAATTAGACTACATATTTGTTTTATTTCATTAATATTAAAATATATTCATATTTGCCTTCAAACTGCACAATGTTGTAAGCATTTGCCACTTAAATTTTCCCTTACTCTTATATACTTGGCAAATTGAAAATGAAAAATCTAACTCACCGGGCAGTTTGAGCTTGTTTGATTTTCAAAACTCGAAATGCGCCCGGCAGCGTTTTGATTACTCGATTCGAGTTTCAGTTTCAGGGACAAGGACAAGGACGCCTTGTGCAAATACTCGACTTGGCAAAATGTTTGCCCCGGCAATAATTGGCGGCATTATTGACGCTTTCCGATAGCCACTCAATGCGATTAGTTTACGATCGTGTGTGTGTATTTGCCTCACCTGCAGCCGTTTCGATTGAACTTCAAATCGAAAATTTCAATTGTTGGACGGCCGTGCGTGGTCGGGGTCTCTTTGGCAAAGGCCAAGTTAATGAAAATATCATTACAGTTTAGCCCAGAGCGTAACAATAAGCGAGCGAGTAAAAAGCGGGGATTGGCTGCTTTATTGACACATGAAATATGATCGCTTCTTGTTATAGGGAGTGTGTGTTCGCTGTGGGACTTGGTATTCCTTTTTTCGTTTTTTTTTTTTTTGTGAGTCTGAGGTGCGTGTCAAGCGGGCATTATTCAAGCAGCGCTCAGCGAGTCAAAAAGCTTTGCGCGTGCGCGTCAAAAATGTCCGAGTTCCCTTCTCTCCTGCCCAGACTTTTAGCCAAGATTAAGCGAAAAAGTGCGCAATCTCTGCGCACAGAGCACTGAGCGGCAAACTGCTGTCAATTTGACAAATGCGCGGGGCTCAGCGATTGTGACAGTTTTAGCGAACCCGTAATTAAGCATGCGCGCACATGCATAAATAGCATAAATATTAAGCAAAAACAAAGAAATTCACCCAAATGCACTCCTCTTGGCTGCCAGCAGGATGACAAATTGCCCAAGTGTTGTGGCGTTGGAATTTGCTTATCGCGTCTGCGCGTTTGGTAATTAAAATAATGCACAGAAAGGTGTCAAGGACTTTCGACGCCAGGTGAATTTTAAAGAGTGGGCTTTCGGCAACGCCAAACAGCAGGTGGTTGCACGTTCAAGTCGAGATTGCGGGCTGCCACGGTGCGTATGCGCAATGTTTTCGGCAAAAAATGTGATTTATATGCTTTTACAAGATGGTTATAGCAAATTATAGCAAATAAAAATACATTTTTTAGCAGCTTAAACATACTCAACTAAAACAAAAATAAACAGTTCGAAGATTACCTTTTGAATAAACAAACTCTTAAGTTTAGCTATTTATCTTTGCTATTTATAACATATAATTATAGACCTTTCGACTCGAAACCTTGTATCTCATTGAGAATATAAGTAATTTCTGCTTACCCGCAATTATCCAACTGACAATTACTTTTCAAACCTTGTCGCCAAAATGATCTTGTTAGTATAACAGTAATGAACCAAACCAAGCCCAGCCCTGTTTGAGTGGCTCACTCGCAATAAATGTCAACATTTTGGCACGTTCAGCTGGATTCCTATTTGTATACTATATATATTCATACTCACACCACCGGGCACGTATCTAAGCACACGATCTGCACCGCAAAAGGCAAAACGGTTCAACATATTTGCATAATTTACCTGCAAAGAAACAACAGACACATAAATTATTTTTTGTTGGCAAAAAAATAAGCGCTTTTTAAAACAAATCGTATGGTAATAATATTTAAAGTGCAGGCCACACCTTTTGCAATAAATTGTATACATTTTGCCGTCACACACATAATAATTAAATGCACTAAAAAATGAATTAAATGCGATTCGATGAACTGCCACGAGATGCGGAATCGAAAACGAAATCGAAAGACGTCTGCACTGCCGGCAACTTCATTGATAAATAAACGGGAAAAATGCTTTTCCCCTGAATCAAAAACATAAGAAAAAAAAAATCAAAATCCAAAAACCAAAAACCCACCCGAAAAAAGTGAAAAATATGTACGCCCTATGGCGGGGCAGCTTGCTGCACGTTATGCTTCCTGCACAATATGCAACAATTTGTTGCACGTCCGGATGTTTACAACAAAATAAACAACATATCGCGCGTGCATTCAATTCACATCAATATCAATATCAAAATCAGATTCGAATTTGAATTTGAATTCGCATTTGACTTGCATATAACTCGTTACACTTTTGTTTACTCTGGCTGCGCTTTGAACGCTTTGATCAAAGTCGCCAGTGGATTTATTATACAATCATTGCCAGGCCCGGCCATAATTGGGCGCAATCAATCAGACGGTGATTGGTGATCCGATCGATTGAACCCGATGAGCCGCTAATCTGCCAGTTGACCCATATCCAGTACCGAATGCCCCAGAGCATCTTGTGAAGTACCCAATGTGCAGGTGAATGCACCCGCTTTGTTTTGTTTACTAATGATCGCCACAATGCAGTACCGCTAGCTGGCTGCATTTACCGAGTGGCCCGATCTGTTTGAGGAGCCGTAATTGTTCTCTAAATTATTGGGCGACTGGTCGAGGGCTTGTCGCCAGCGATATGTCCGTCTGTCTGGCTGTCTGTCTGTTTGTGGCTTTTTGTGTCTGTCTGCGGCTCTGGGGTCGTCATAATGAGGTGCCAAACGTAAATATGAACAAGAGATTTTTCCACATGCCCGACACATTTTCGTGCTCCCCCTTTCGACAGCGACAAATGTTGGGTTCTTTAATGAGATTTTGGAAATCTCAATCTCTCAAGGTGTACGATACACTCCAAAAAAATTAAAATATTATTTAAATGTAGTCCCAAACAATGAAATTTTAATATTTCTTTGTTTTGATTTATTTATCAACTGAACATTGATAAAAAAAACATTCATAAATGTAAGTGAACTCTTTAAACATTAACCAATATTTAAATATAAAGATATACAAATATTTAAAAAATATTTAAGTGTTTGGCTTGCTTAAGAATTTACAATTAAGAAAAAAGAAATATTTAATGTACTTCATCAGTGAATTCTTGAAATAAATTATTGGATACAAACAATTTCAAGTAGAAATCATAAAAAAGAGATGTCATATATGTAAGTAAAGGTTTAAAAGTTTTAGAATAAAATGAAAATACAATCATTAGTTTTTACATTTCTCTGTGTGTGGTAGATCTCTATTTTCCCTGGTAATTCGTTGCCAAGTAAACCCCTGTGTTCCACTAATGAGCCGCCTAGGTAATGCAATGTGGTTAACCCTCTGAAGCCGTAACTCATTTTCGTCTCTATCGCCCCAAGAAGTAAGAAAAAACAAACACAGCTGCTGGGCCCATTGAAGCTCACAATTGTTTAGACATAGTTGCCCCCAAAAGAACCAAAAAAAAAAAGAAAGAAAAACGAAACTGAAACAATTTACAATAAATATGGGATGGGAAAAACATTTGGCATGACTGAAAATTGGGGACGCCTCAGCGCTCCCAATACCCAATTTGTTTATTTCATTTGATCTTTTTCTGATCGAAATTTGTTGTTGTTTTTGGGCAAAAGCGCAGTACGTTGATAGAATTGTAACAACTGTCGCGGCATAAATAAAGCTATTATGATTTATGCCGACCAGACGATTACGAAACTCGTTAGAATGCTCCAGCCACGGGCCAATGGATCGAAGACAGAGGACTGTGGATTATTTGCATGTCTAGCGCCAATAATTCTAAGGCGTGCGCTCCGATGATATTCCAAGTGGTTGGCGGCACCACTGCCATCCACTGCCATCCGCAGCCACTCTGCACCACCGCGCTGCACTGCACCACCGCTCAGATTTCGACGTTTGATATGGCGTGAGGCTATATTGGCAATCTTCCGTGGTTGATTGTGAATGTGCGTGGAATTGTAAATATCTGCGATTGCCTTTGCAATTGCAATTAAAAGAAAGCAGGCATTGGGGGATCTCGGGGGGTTCTCTTCTCTCGAGAGGACATACTAGTGAGGTTCGTACCTCAGCCAGCTGCAAATGCAATCTGCGAGCATGGCTTTTGTGCATGTAAGCGGCACTTTTTATAAGCATCGCTTATCAAGCTGCAACGCCTTGTAGTTGCTGTTGTAACTGCAGCGGTTGTTGCTGTTGTCATTGCAGATGCAACAGTCGATTGGCACAAGGCAGCACGCAAAAAATACAAAATATAATGGAGAAGTGCTGATTTAATGACCGAAGCTTAGAATACCCTGTGATTCAAAGAAAAGGGATATATAGTCCTTGAAATATTATTCATGACTTAATGGCATCAATTAATAAATAATAAATACTGAAAAATTATTTGAAATCAATGGGTCATTTATGATGATGATTTGGATGATTAATTTGTTTTCAAAATGAAAACCGCTGTCGCTTACTGTGTGTGTGTCTATGTAACTTAGATTTAAATATTTATATATCTGGATAATTATTTATTGAAGACTAGATAGTTTGCTCAATCCAAGCTCCTGACCAAAATGCAGATACCCTTCGCTGGGCTGTGAAGAAAACCAACGCACGCCCAGGCTCGGCAAGTGAAAATCAGAGTGAGTCATGGAGATGTAGACTCTGACGAGGACGGCGAACGAGAACGGCCCACAGACAAAAGCCTCATTAGGCGGGGTCTACAGCGATGGTCGTCGGAACTGGGGGTCTGGAAAGCAGGGACTAGGGACTTGGTACTTGGTATCCGCGGTCCGTGATCGTTTCAATTTCAGTTTCAGCGTTGGCGTTGAAAGCGCGTCGAGCACTCCTCTTTAACTACATAGTTACAGTCATTGCAGGATCCGCACGATCATCATTATCGTCATCATCATGTTGCGCCCATAAAGCGAATTATGCCATTTGCGTAAATTATTGTCAAGTGGCCCCGGCACACTAAATCATAGAGATGCCAGGCTCCTGATGGCCCGATACCGGAGTTGTTTTTCACGCCAATCAAATGGTTATGGCTCTCTTACTCCTTCGCCCAGAGAAGTGAAATCAAGAGTTCAACGGAGGTGACCCACAAAATGTGGTTAACGATATCTGAAATTCATATTTATTTTTGCCATGGCCTATTAAAATATACAACTTTATAACTTGTTCCACTTTTTGCGTGTTCCATGTTCTCGGGATGCAGCAGCATCAGCAGCAGCGGCTCCGAACTTTCTTATTAAGAATTATATATGCAGCCATAATGAAAAGCCATAAAAAATGATACTTATAAGCGAGGAGCGAGGAGCGACGAGCATCTCTCCCTATTGCACATTTGCCATATGCATATGGAGCTCTGCACAAGAATTTGACCCAGAAATGGAAGTTGCAGTTGCCGAATGCTGCAGCTTCTGATACCGATGGTGATGTTGGGATGTTGCTGCCTTTCAGCGCGTATAAATAAATTTAATGACTCAATTTGTAATGAGAAATGGGGGCTGTTTGTTTGCTCAGATCGCCCGAGGATTGCACTCTTAAGCTCCACTTGCAGAGTTTTGCCATAATTCCGCTTAAATTGAAGGCATCGTGCTGCTGTGTTGGTTTTAATCAAAGGACCATTCAGCGAAGACCATTCGGTTCCACTTAAATTTAAATAAATTACATAATTTAACGTTTCTTTGCACCCAAAACGAGAGTTCTTTGTTCTTGCTGGAAAAAAAATACCCAAAAAATATGCAAATTCATTTCGATTCCTTGGCGTTGACATCACCCTTAAAAACAGGTTCATAAATTGCGTAGCATTAATTTCAAATTCCCCCTCGTTTAAGTTTTATTTGACTTTTTCGGTAGGTACACCACAATCCACTAGATTGCAAATTGTAATACAAACAAAGGCTAAATTCTTTTACTTTAAACATCGAAAACTGTACATAAATTTATGACAAGAGTGTCAATAGGCCGTAGCACATAAATGCTGTTAATTAACATTTATTGTTTGCTGATACTACACCATACGAACAAAAAATAGCTATGAAAACAACAAAAGGGGTCTTTCTGGCCATAAAACGGCATTCAATTTGCTGGCCGTAAAATTTTATGAAGGTTTGTATATTTTTTCGCATTGTTTGCTATTGAAATTGGAACTCGAGCGAGTTGGTCGTGGGCGATTTGCTAAGAGCGATGCTAGGCACTAAATAGATTTTATACAAAATGCAATGTGGAAACAAAGGAGTTCTAATCGCTAAATGGGAATGTGAGGGAACTATTATTTTTCTGTAAGCTGATAAGTGAAGCGACTTTGTCCACTCTAATCAGCAAATTGAAGACTGGCGACTGGTAATTAACCCAGTGCATTTTTGACCGCTGCTCGCCGTTGAGTGCATACAAATTTTTATTTTTATGGCTCACAGAACAATTTAAAGGACTGACAAACCAAATTGATATGATTGGGGCAATGGATGGTGGACGGGGATGGGGCCAGACTCCATTTCTGCCTTTGTCTTGTAAACAAACTAATTAAAACTGACACTGACGGCGGATGACAATTTACGCAGCTGTCTGGGAAAAAGGGAGTGCTAAGCTGGCTTTCCTCCCTTTGTGTTGCATTTCGCTCAATTGAAATGTTGCACGCACAATTGCCGAGACATCAAAGATGCGACATTCAAACGGGAGTTGTTATAAAAAAATGGAAACATAAATGGAAATGCAATTCAGGCAATTATTATTTAA